AAGCGAATGTAGTGTTGAAATGTTTGCTCAATGGCTATCAGTGTTTTCAATGAATGAATTTTGAACGCCCTTTGTTTGTTCTCGGTATAATAAATCTGGCCAAAAGGATTTAAATTATTTTTAACGTAAATAGTGGTGGTCAAATTATGTGATATGTGTTGTTGGGCACGTTTTTATATGTTTCTTTGTGTGTTTCAGGATTGGACGATTTGGGGATCATGGATGGAGAGAACAATTGGGCCTCAGGTAACTTCACTCACCCAGCGAAACATAACTCAAGAGTTCTATTACGATTGCTTTCTTTGAAAACATGGCCTTGTTTTTATTTATTTATTTGGTGTACAATTAGTTTTTTAATCATTGATGGATTATTGAAAAGCTGTATTTCTATAATGGTTAAATCTCATCTATCACGAGAAAATTACTAGAAATCAAATCAAGAAATAAAATATGCAATTTGAACAAAAAAACACACGAGGTCACATTGCATAATTCAATTTTTTTTATGTGATAGGTCGGCAAACTAGCAAACGGATTACCTGATGGTAAGCAATCAGCGTCGCCCATGGACACCCCGCAACACCGGAGGAGTAACGAGTGCGTTGTCGACCTTTTGGGGATTAGGGTTTTAGAGATTTTGGGAAAGGGAACGGATTGGGGTAAGGGAAGGATAGGGAGAAACTCAACTCTTTGGTTATTTCACCAAAACCCTAAAAAAAAATCATAGAAAAATGACGATTATAGCAATTTCAAAAATAGAATAGAATTTGATTAATTGTCAGAAACTTATGTACGAAATAATATGTGAAGAAAAACACAGCATTCTGTCTGTTGCACTTAGTAAGATTGTTAAATAGAATTAGTAAGATTACAATTTTCATACGGTTACAGACTGCAAAACAAAGTCCGTGTTCCCTGACCTACAATAGGTTAGTTATACGTCATCGCATCATCGACAGAAGTACAATCAGTTCCGATCTTATTCAACGGTACCTCTTGTGATGTGATAACATCGCGGTGATTGCCAACAATGTCACATATCAATTATCGCGACAAATTATATAGTAGCACTGTATTATTGTATGTAAGTACGTTGTTTATGATTATTGTTTCATGTTCTTATGTAAGAACTAAGAAAATATATTTTTTACGGCACGTAGCCATCCAGAAGGGCCAACAGAAAACCGTACTTGGAAGGGCTGGTCTTTTGCCACCGCGGCCTCGGCCTTGAGCAAGAGACAGAACGGAGGGGTTTTAGTCAGTAAGAGTCTGACACTCCGTCTCGCCCCATCCATGGAGAAGCCAGTTACTTATTTACCCGTCTCAAAATAAAAGAACAAATCACGCTCATTTTAAAATAAACCCCTACTCATGTCCATAATTTTAAAGTGTAGGAGAGCCATAGCTCGACACGTATAATACCATGGCCTCACAGAATACCCGCTAGAACCATATCGTTGTGTTTCGTCGAGAGAGTCGGTTTACAAGAGGCCGAATCTGCCCCCTTTTCTTCTTCTCTTCCTTTCCCCATTCTTACACCCGGTTTCTGAAAAGCTTGTCAACGCTAAAATTAACTAATCTCCTGTTAAATCTCTTGTCAAGTCATCTGATTGGTTGTTGATAATTCAGTCAACCAATCAGATGACTTGACAAGAGATTAAATTGATTTTAACATTGATTGGCCTTTCGGAAACCGGGTGTTAATCCCCAAATCTAGTAACGGTGTGGCACCGATTATTAACACAATAGTTTCTAAATCACACGCGAAACAGTCTAGACAAATTCTTAAACAACTATTAAGATACGAAACTAAATATATCTAAATGCAATAAATTATTAAGTAAATCTAATAATGTCTTCCTCGAGTAAGATTACCTGTGGCCTGTGAATTCCACAGAACACATAATTCAAATGTCTTGCCAAGCGAAGCGAGAATGTCAGTTGTTATAATTTCAACTCACGACCATAAATATTATTATTCGAAAGTTTAGCATGTAGTAAAATTTATATTAGATAATATTATGCAAACTGAAAGTAAACATACTTATATCATCATCATCAGCCTATAAGTGCCCATTGCTGAGCAAAGGCCTCTTCTCATACGGAGAAGGTAAGAGCATTAATCACCACGCTTGCTCAATGCGGGTTGGCGATTTCAAACTTATAATAAGGAATTATAAGTCCAGGTTTCCTCACGATGTTTCATCATCATCATCATCATCATCAGCCTATGAATGCCCACTGCTGAGCAAAGGCCTCTTCCCATACGGAGAAGGTTAGAGCATTAATCACCACGCTTGCTCAATGCGGGTTGGCGATTTCAAACTTATAATTAGAAATTACAAGTCCAGGTTTCCTCACGATGTTTACCTTCACCGTATGTCAGTGGCGTCTAAATAATTATAGAAAGTACATATAACTCGGAAAAAGTGACTTGCCAGGTTTCGAACCCTCATGCATGAGAAGCGGGCTCCTTAACCGCCGGGCCACCACGACATACTTACATGTAAGTAGGCAATTACGTACATAAAAAATAACAAAACGCAAATCTTCTGCGAATGATTTGCAACAGATTTTTTTATGAAATAAGCTACCTTACCTAATACTAGTAGGCATACGGATCACCTGGTGGTAAGCGATCACTACTTGGACCATCCGTAACAGTGAATCTATAATACCAGTCCGGAGTTTGAACGGGATAGTTATGTTTTTAGGTTGGAGTAAAGAATAAAGTAATCAGTATGAGTATTTTTTTGTCAGGGGACAATCATCAAATCACCTTTCCCGCCCAGGGTTAGGCGAGAGAGAGTGTCAGACTCTTACTGACTAAAAACCAACCCCGTTCCTTCTCCTGCTCTGGGCCGAGGCCGCGGTGACTCATTGCGCTTAACCCGCAACCCCAGCTGAACATCAGCCCTATAGGGCCCGGTCTGTGGTGGTCTATTGGCTCTTTGAGGTGCGCGCGCAACGCTACGCGCCGTACGCTCGGGTAATCAGTGTGAGTCTGTCACTTTGGCTTCACAAAGGACGGGACTCCTCCTATATAGCATTGCCCTCAAAAAACCACTTTATCAATGTACAACGTTAGTCGTGAGAGATTTTGCAATATACAATTTTTAAATACCTACGTAAGATCGTCAGAATATCTTAATAACTTGTTAATTCACATATTAATGTAGGTACTTTGATCAGTTTTTCACTAGTCTTTCAAGCACTCATTAAGACACATTTTCCAATTTGGTCAATTTTAAAGACACTCACGGGAATCGAAAACAATATATTTCAAGGCTAAACTAAATCCAATATTTTACTTATACATATATACACGGACGCTACTCAATACCCAGCCAGTTCTAATAATATACTAGTTACAAGTTGAACTGAAAGGTCACCTGATGGTAAGCCATCAGCGCCACCCATGGACACCCGCAACACCGGAGGAGTTACCAGTGCGTTGTCAGCTTTATAGTTAAGGATTGGGAATGGATGGGGGAGGGGGAGGGATTCGGCCTCCGGTAACCTCACTTACACGACGGTTGCCGGAGTATCCTTCCCCTCCCCCAATTCCTCCCCAAAACCTAAAATGTCGGCAACGCACACGTAACTCCTCTTTTGTTGGGATGTCCATGGGTGGCGCTGATTGCTTACCAAAAGGTAAAGCGTTTGCTCGTTAGCAAAAAAATATGATTTTTTGAAATCTCTTAAATATTTTGCATAGTTTTCCTAGCCCCGAGTACCTAATGAAACCAAAGCAAAACAGATCGACAATTAAAAAATAAATCTTTGCAAACACATATACCATAGACCTTAAAATCGCTTTCAATATTCATGTTAAAAGCACCTAATCCAAATCCTTCTCTGTCTACGATCCAAATTAATCGTTAACGCCTCTTTCTCTACCTACCTCTTTGGTAAATCCAAGTGTGACGTCACGACCTAGATCGAACATTGAGTACCTACCTGGGATGGTAGGGAGCTCCGTAACCATAGCCGAAACTATCGGATATCCGATATACCTAAAAAAAATATCCGTAACCATAACCGAATCAAAAAAAAAAGTTTCGGATAATATCGGATTGGGACGAAGCCAGACAGCGAGACACGTTATGTTTGTATTTTCTTTTTGAAATTCCTTAAAATTTATTATTCGTAACCGAAATTATCTGAAAGTAACGGATAATACGAAATAATTTCATATCCGTATCCGTAACCATAGGTACTCAAAATTTTTTTGTTTTGTTTATTAAGACGTTGCCCCACACTAGGATTTTCTCTTGTATCGTGGGTGCGCTTACAAACATACAATTTGACATACACATTTCTATATCTGTATCCGAATTTTCATATCCATAACATCCCTAGTACCAACCTACGTAACAATGTTGTCAAAGACCTACCGTCAACAAGACAAGATCACAGGCTGATGTATTTTACGATGGCCATCTGGATTCCGATAGCAATCAATTTGTAGTTTGGTAGTTACCTTAATGTTTACGATGCCAATAATAAATTATTGCTAAGAAGTATACGTTATCTAGGTAATGTAGTAAAAGAGTATGAGGTTTTAATTTGTAATTTATTGTAGGTATTTATTGTTTTAACCCATCAGCAGAAAATATATTGACAAATTCGATTCTAAAATATTAAACGCGGTAATCGCAGATTTTAATGAGAATAAATCAACCACATTGGTACATACATTTCAGTGGTTAGCGCCATCTGTTTATTTAGTCATGAACCGCGAGTAAAAGTTTCGGACACTGTACAATGTAGATTTGTGATGTAAAACGTCATTATTAGAAAGGATTTTTTATTCGTTAATAAAATGAATCACAACATTTTACTCGACTGTTTTTTTAAGCTTACGATTACGACGAATCGACTAATACTAAGTAAAAATTAAGAATTTTTGACAGCTTAATTTTAATTGACACTGACATCTGACATTGACGTTTTCATCACCTGATGTTTTTTGTAAGGGTATGAGACAGGTAGTGTGAAGGTGAAGTGTCTTCGCAAAATATTATTGATTTTCTTCAACAATAGGATCACAGGACAAAGGAGGCGCTTAGCATGAAACGAGTGTACGTTTATAGAAATAAATCCGAACAAAATGGAAAAGTTGTGGCCTTGGAAGACACGATGGAAACGTTAAAATCGCAAATATCAAAACATTTTGAAGAAAGTGTAGAAAATCTGAGATTATATTCCAGAAACGGCTGTGAAATTGACGATGTGAGAGTAATAAGAGATGAGGAGAAGATTTATCTGAACATAAACGATGATGCGGACTCGAAAAGTTGTGATAATTTAACTCAATCCATACAGAATCTGGATTTGAGTAACAGTAGCAAACAGAGTCAACCTGTGACTGATTGGATTACTTTGAATGTTGGTGGCAAACATTTTACGACTTCTAGGTCTACCTTGCTGGCTAAGGAACCCATGTCAATGTTGGCCAGAATGTTTGCTGATGAAAACAATATGTACTTAATGACTCCAAGTGCTACAGACTCTGTGGGCGCGTACTTGATAGACAGGAGCCCAGAATATTTTGAACCTATTCTAAATTATTTGAGACATGGAGATGTGATATTAGATAAGAATGTTAACCCAAAAGGTGTGATGGAAGAGGCTGTGTTTTATGGTATGTATATATATAAAAATCTAATTAAAATATAGTAGAGAAATGTGTTTTCTTTCAATGAAACAGTTTTATGATATGATTTTTTGTCATCTCTTTCTAAAGACTAAGGAACAAAGCTTTGATTTTCAATTTTTACTGTTGTTGACTCATCTGCTGAACCTAGGCATTTAATAATTTACACTATCATAATAATATTTTTACAATAAAAATACCTATGACATGATTAATTTGTTTTCTAAGCTTTTTTCCTTTTTAAATGGCAATTCAGTCAACAATACAGTGTTATATAGTAAAGTGCCAGTGTACGTAAGATTGCTTAAAAACTTACTAAAAGATAGCAATTGCTGTATATCACCTACCACACATCTTTGCACTACCAAAAGGTTGACTGGCAGAAAATGCTTCTAGCATTAAGTCCTCCGATATGCAATTCTATATAAAGAATGAATAAATAAAAAAAATAAAAAATAAATAAATAAATCGGTACCACTCTAGCCACTCACACATGATGCCATAGCCAAGAATAACTGGGATTATTTTTAAAATAGATTAAACAATACTTTTCTAAAAGAATACAAGATCTCTATCTTATGGGAATAAAAACTTATGAAATTAAACCAGTGGCTTTCCTCCGAGTATTAGAGTAAAATGTAACCAATGTGTAAATCCAGACTATAATTTTATGTCATATTTTGATTTAGATCCATTCAGTATTTTTAACATGAAGAAGTAAAAAATACTTTCAAACTTTCATATTTATGATGCTTATAGGATTCATCTCTTTACCAGCCCAAAAATGTATTTATTTATTTATATATACCTTATTGCACACATACACCAAGTAGCAATACATTGGATTGGATACTATGACTGATGTATTTATTTATATATTTATTATGTATTTATTTATTATATTTTATTTCATAACAAATCCTTCCTTGAATTCCAGGTATAGATTCAATGATACCGCAGCTAAGTATACTGATAGAACAATCAAAGAGTGCATGTGGTATCAATCATGCGCTGACCCGCATGGATGTTGTTCGTTCCATTATAATGACTCCTACCACATGGGAGTTGAGATTCCAAGGAGTAAACCTGTCCGAAGCGGATCTCAACAGATTGGACCTTCGATATATAAACTTTAAGGTATGTTTTGCTTTTTCTGTTTTAATAAATCTCAGTTTTCATATTAATTTGGAGAAGCAACTATTGGATAAGTTTTATTCAAGCGTTGATGACTGAGGTTCCTCAATCTTCATATAATATATCTGATTACCCCTTTTTCTGTTATTAAATATTTTGTTAGACGCAAACTGTGTTACTTATGGTTCTTCTAAAAGATTAGTATAGAATAAAAATACACCATTTACAGTGTAGTATAGTGTCATAACAGAATAAAAATTATCTAGAGAAGATGTCTGAAGAAGGGATTCTTAAGAGGTCTTCTGTAGTTTATTAAGTATTGACGTCTATTCCATAATCTTTACTAATAATAAGTCTTTACCTATGAAATTGCCGTTCTGCAGTACTGGCCATTTCAAATCAAAATAGTTTTTGTTAGGCTAAGGCTAATTAATTTTGTTTTAAAAACATGGGATTCTTTTTCCAAAAGTAGTCATTTGTTTATTGATTCGTTTGAATTTTTGCATGCAAAACGGCAATTTCATAGGTAAAGACCTATTATTTTAAAGCTTAAGAGTTTGTTTGTTTGAACGCGCTAATCTCCATAACTACTGGTTCGAATTAAACAATTATTTTAATATCACGCCAGGATCTGTAGCATCGGGTGAAACCGCGCGAAAGTAGCTAGTATATTATATGTATAAATCAATGATATAATATTGTCATAAAGATTACAATTATATAAAAAATATAATTTTCTACTTTTATGTTTCAGTATGCATGTTTATCCCGTTGTAACTTGAGCGGCGCTAATTTGTCACACTGTTGTCTGGAGCGCGCCGACTTGTCGCATGCAAACCTGGAAGGTGCTCAGCTGTTGGGAATTAAAGCTTCATGTGCTAATATGGAAGGTAAGTAGTTGTTGTGTAACATGCAAAGATAATTAGTCCTTTTTAACCGACTTCAAAAAAGGAGGAGGTTCTCAATTCGACGCGTATTTTTTTTTTTTTTTATGTATGTACACCGATTACTCGAAGATGCCTGGACCGATTTGCAAAATTCTTTTTTTATTCGATAGGGTATACTTGCCATTTGGTCCCATTGTCATGAGGTCAGGATCTGATGATGGAAACCTGGAGAAACCGAGGGGAACTTTCGAAAATTGTAGGGGCGAGTAGGTTTTTTTGTATGATGTTTAAGTAGGCCTTTAACAACACTACAACTTGACGAATATCAAAGTCGACCAGATGTTGGAGCCGGAAGACAGTCGAGGGATCTCCTTGACTATTTGGAGTAATTGCCTTGTCTTTGGGCTTGAATGATTCGTATTGGCGAGCACTTTGCAGCAGGCTTGGTCGTAACTGTCATTAAGGGTCTGATGATGAGAACGAAGGACAGCTCAGGGAACTCCTGAACGGTTTACAGTAACTACTTCGTGTTTGAACTTAATTCATTTATATTGATGAAAACTTTGTACCTGTAGGTATGTATCATAACAACTGAAGGTCTGCAGTTTACCTGATGATGGAGACAATTGACCGTCGAGGGAATTCCGGATGGGAACGAGAGACAGTCGAGAGAACTCCTCAACGATTCATAGCAGCTTCCTTGTGTTTGATCTTAATTTATTCGTTTTGATGAGAATTTTACACCTTGATGGATTGTGACTGTCATTAGGGATCTGATGATGAAGACTAACGACAGTCTAGGGAACTCCTCAACGGTTTACAGTAGCTACCTCGTATTTGGACTTAATTTATTTATATTGTTAAGAACTTTCCCTCTCCTAGAGAGATAGCCTGTGTCCCAGTAGTGGGAACATTAAAATGGCTGATGATGATGATGATGATGATGATGATGAGAACTTTACCATTTCTTGGGATCTATATTTTTTAATCGGGCGGCTCCTTTCGTTGGCCTACACATAGCTACTTAAAAATATGTACTATGCAATATGTTAATTTATATTTAAAATATTACAGTAGTTTACAGAAGAAATTGCAACAGAAACTAAAAAGAAAAAATAAAAAAAACTACGTTTAAAAAAACCGACTTCAAAAACAAAAAAGTGTCAAATAAGTAATTAAAATTGATATTTTAATAGCACTCTTACGTACGCGAAGCTAATACTTTTAATATTAATAATAAAACACTATCAATTCTATGTGCTACCTATTCATAGGTTTGAAGTCGGTGCCAAGCCCTAAACAGAATAAAACTAAATGAGAATTAAGACTGTTTAACTGCTAAAAGACGAAATTTCCACAACTAACAACGCAGCTACCTTCTACTACTTTGAACAATCAAGTACGAGAAAACTTTCAGAATTCATAATTCATCCAAATATATTTCTAAGCTATATACAGTTTCGCCGGTAACGAAACCATATAGACTTCTGATTCTACGCTAACGCCATCAAGTTAGAAAATCGGTACTAAATTTCTTAAACCCTAACAAATAAATTCAAACGCGCCCGGCGAGTTTAGGTACTCATGCTTATTATATTATGTATTAGGCTTGGCACCGAGTTCAAACCTATGAACAGGTAGCACATAGAATTGATAGTGTTTTATTATTAATATTAAAAGTATTAGCTTCGCGTACGTAAGAGTGCTATTAAAATATCAATTTTAATTACTTATTTGACACTTTTTTGTTTTTGAAGTCGGTTTTTTTAAACGTAGTTTTTTTTACTACAAATAAAACAAACGTATTTGTTATAAATATATTATTCGATATCCTGTTCGTCCATGTCGTATCCTTGTTGGTGTGGGTAGAAGGCGCCGGGTGCTTCGAACGCGTCCTTTTCTTCGCCTAGTGCTGGGTACGGGTGGTGGGGCATTGCACCCATCCATTGTGGGTACCAGTAGAGACCCTAAGTGTAAATTATAAGTCAAATTAGTTATACGTGACAAGTATTATGTATTTTTTATTTATTTAGGGCTGATTTTTCAATGGTTAGATAAAAGTTATCTGCGGAATAATTATGATGCTATCGCTTCAGAATGTTTGTATAAGACAGTGACGGCAACAATTTTATAACTCAAATAACATCTGACTTTTGAAAAATCAGCCCTTAGGATATCCAACATAGGATATACACAAATTTGACTGCACGGTCGGTGCGGTGGTTGGGTAACTGGCTGCCGCGCAACGTGTCGCGGGTTTTATTCCGGAACAACTATTTGTGTGATCCACAAATTGTTGATCCATGTCTGGGTGTAATATGTATGTTTATAAACGCACTCAAGACAGAAAAACATCCTATATTTGGGGCAAAGATTTTAAAAAAATCGAAAAAAAATGGACGACAATATGACCACGCACATGTGCTCCTTCATTTACATGGGACCACAGCATGCATACTTACAATAAATTACAACTAAGCAAACAAAATTAAAAAAGTTTTAGGTATAACACAATCATAATAAACTACTAAAAATTAACACAGTACAAAAACCGTATTGTTACATATGATTTGAAGTAGAGCTACATCTTTTACACAATAATTTAAAAAGCAATGGCTTTGGCCTCTTTTCTTTATTTCCATACAAGTCTCAATTCAATACAGTCAGATAGCAGTGCATCCTGGTATTTTTATATCCAAGCAAACAGCATTTAAGTGTGTGAGCCAAGCTTCGGCACGAATGTGTCGGCTCGACCGAAGTGATACCACGGCCTCACAGAAAACCGGCGTGAAACAACCACAGCTTTGTGTTTCGCCGTGTAAGTGAGGTTACCGGAGGCCCAATCCTTCCCCCTGTCCCGTGCCTTCACAATCCTTAAATGTACTAAACCTTTTTCTCTAAAAGGCCGACAACGCACTCGACAACAACTCCTTTAATGTTGCGGTTGTCCATGGGCGGCGCTGTTTGCTTACCACCAGGTAATCCGTCTGCTCGTTTGCCGACCTATACCATAAAAAAGCCACGCCAGCAACAAGTCATTTGTTGGACGTACCTATTTAATAAAAAAAAATATTTTGTAATGTAATTTGAATTCATAATGGTGTATTTCTTGTTTTTACGAGTAGGTAGTACCCGTGCCGGGTATAATAACATAACACACAATAATTTGTGTTATAATTGAAATGAATTATGAGTAAGAATATTCTATTTTGAACCCTACAGAGTAGTAATAAGTACCTAAGTACTTACCTTTACAACGATTTAATAATTATTATTAACTCAATAAAGAGGTTTTTAAGTGGAATTTTGTCCAGGGTCATTGGAACTTTTATAAAAATACAATTTATATTCACAACGCGTCCTGAACTAGTGACCCGTCCTGATGAAGTTGATAGGAATCCCTATCACTATCCTGGTATCTATCACTTTATTGTAGCGGGCTCATCATCCTCATGTACTAAAGTATACCTCTCCTACTTTTCAAACATCTTCTATAATAGGATTTGTTATTTTCTATTTTCAGGTGCAAACTTAAAAGGTTGTAACATGGAAGATCCTGTTGGATCAACGACTGTGATGGAAGGTGTCAACTTAAAAGGTACTTAGTACACAATTTGCATTAAACAAAAGAGTGTTAGACTCAATGTGGAGGATATAAAATATGAGCCCATATTTAACACACTTTTCACTGGTTATTTTATTTTACTTAATACTAAACATAAACATAAATGCACCTACATATTTATCTACCTACTGATGGTTTTATTGTTATTTTAGGCGCCAATTTAGAAGGAAGCAACATGGCGGGTGTCAATTTACGGGTGGCAACATTGAAAAATGCCAACCTACAAAATTGTGATCTCAGAGATGCTGTGCTCGCTGGGGCGGATTTAGAGGTATTCAAAACTTTACTTTAATGCTAGTTGGAGTTTTAACCTAATCTGAAGATAATCGGACCAAATCTATGTTCGATCCACAAATTGCTAACCTAGGTCTGTGTGATGTAAATTTTGTGCCACACCACAGCATAAAAAAAAATTGTTTTGTAGAAACTAAAAAACTACCTGGGAAATGTATTTTTTCTCAGAATAAATATTTTAATTTACTTAAATTGATTTCTCTTTTCAGTGTTGTGATTTATCAGGCAGTGATCTTCATAAAGCGAATCTCCGTGGTGCCAACCTGAAGGACGCGGCTTTTGAGTTGATGCTTACCCCACTTCACATGTCCCAAACTATAAGATGATAATTAATTAATTAACAATATTAATATATTACTCGTTTAATAAATATTGCTATTCATACTGTATTTAATTCATCTTGCAACCCTACAATTTTTATAATAAAAGATAAATCGTAATAGTACCTACTTAGTACACCTTAATGGCTGATCGGCGAGGTTACTAAACAAGCTTCAAACCACTCAGAGGGCCCTTAAGTATTCATGAGCAGTATTACACAACAACAAAGTTCATCAAACAACGTAGCGAGTGCAAACATATTTTTTTTCTTATGTCTCATTCACATCGTTAAACATAGAAACCAAAATGTCCTTTACATCTGATGACTATTTACCTACTGTAAGATTACCCTGACTGTTACTGACAGTAGTATATATAGCGACACTCATTCAGTTATCAACGGGTTCGTACTTTGGTTATCATCATCCAGACAGAAGGCACCCACTGCAGAACCAAGATTTACATCTTACGCGAGTAAAGAATTAAGTTAAACTACAAATCTTCCACTTAAAAGCGGCGGCTTGGGATCGCTATTAGGTTATTTAAATTTTTCTCAGAAACCAGAAATCGGAATTTTAATTTTTCCTTAGTTTTTTCAGTTTTAGTTAGCCATTCGAGGTAGACCGTATGTTAAAATAGCTACTTTTTAATTAAATACTATTACGAATCTTGTTAGATTATTTGATTATTATGTGACTAATTATTGTAAATGAAGTTGCTGAATCATACTCTTTTTATACGATGTGGGTAATTTCATGCATAGTAGCCAGTAGTAGGTTAGGTAGGTAGGTACCTTATTTTACTTTGTGTGCTCATTTGTGGAATATTATTTTTATAATGTTGGCACACATGTATATAGAGGTGGCTATATAGTTTAAATAATTTTAGTTATTTTTATTGACAAGTGACGGCTGTCAGCTTTGACAGCTATCTTGACGATTTGAATTTGCAAATATAAGGTGGTACAAATAGGAACAAAATAATTTACATGATTATGCATAATATTATTATGTATCTAAGGATCAATCATTATCAGTAAGTAAATAAAAATGATATTTAGTCGATTAAAAAGCAACTTTAGTAACAAATAAAGTCTTTAGTAACTTGCCACAACTCTATATCATTTTTGTTGGCAGGTTGGTTGCATTTGTTTTTTATTCGCGACTTCGCGTTCTATTTTTGTGTGTGACGGTTCCGTCCGGCGGAGAAGGATTTTATTTTGCAAATAATTTTGATGGTTTTCGTTTAGATCATCGAAATCCCTGCAGAAGTGCTCCCGATTGCGGTAAATTATCAAAATGCAGAACGGAGACGGTACGCCAACCGCCGCGGATAACAGTAAGTTTTCCATTTTGTTATTAAAAATAATGGAATAACAATCATTATTCCACTGTTTTATTTAATAATTTTGAGAAAATTCCAGTGGAAAATGGTTAAAATATATGAAAAATTCTTTCGTATACAAAACCGCGTGTATTTCGAAATACCCGCAATGAAGCTATGATGAAAACTGCGAAGTTTCTTCGACGCTAATGTAAAAAAATATTGTAGAATCGGATTGCGGTTGTAATTTCACTTGCGTTTGAATGTTTCGTGCATCGATTACTGCGATTTGGGTTGTTTCCTCGGCTTGCAATTATTGATACTGTGGGTAGCTTAATTGGAGTGTGAAGCATGACTCACATTCTTCTGGTCTGCCCACCTCTTTTGTAAAAATGCAACTGATTTATTAGGCAGGAGGATTGCGTGGAGTACAATGTACTCTCTATTAGCCGCGGAACATTATAATGAAAAATGCAAGAAAGTAGATGCACTATAATAATTAATATTATATATTTAATTAGTTCAAGTACCCTCGGATTGTTAATGTGTGAGGTCATTTTAAATTTTCTATTTGCATTGAATCATCGGTTTGAAGGTCTATCTATGCAGGTTGTTGCCTCATCTATCTTTATAGATATGAGTGTATTGTTAAGGAATTCTTGATTTTTAATTTTAGCATTTTTTCTGTCTACCTACAAGTAGGTAGTAGATTATCGGAGACAATTTTGTATGAGTGGGCTGTATAGGTCAAGGTTGAATTATTTATCACTTTGTCAGCTTTCCTGATTATTTTGTTATTTCTCAGAATGTTTATCATTAAATATTTATCTTTGTGTACCAACATGTTATGTTATCATTATGTTAATAGTTGCATGCATTGGTTGATCATTATTATTCTCTTTACACTTAATTATTTTTGAGTGTTATGATTATAATTTACTTGAAATATAGGGTAGAACAGTCAGTGCCATTCATTTTGGAATGTTATCATAATTATTATGCCACTAGAAAGTTTGATAACATTCTTAAATTAAATTTCTTGTAAGAATTGCACAAACAAAATAATAGAATTTACCTAACAGTTGTTACCTTCTGTTATTATTAATTAAATTTTCGTTTTACGATGATACCTTGCATCTTACTGGCACCCACAATTATTCCTTAAACCTTTCGCTGCCAACACATTCAATGTAGACCATGTAGTATATTATGTAGACCATGTAATATATTATGTAGTATATATAATATATAGTTTATAGTATATTTAAGGATTTGCCTTTAACACTTTTAGTTGGCAGTCAAAGACCTTCTTTTCTTTTCTCTTATGCATACTACTTTGAGTAAGAACATAATTGTGAGGGTAACACCATCACCTTTGTTTTCCTTATTTTTTCGAGTTAATATGTAGTTTCATAGAAGTTATGTATAACTGTTATTAATTATTAGTTTCTTTAGATAATTGTTCTATGAAACTACATAAACTCGAAAAAAGTCACATTTATACTTAGCAGGTTTTGAAGCCGGTGTCACATTAATTTGGTTATTGTGGAAAATGTTGACTTACTAAGTATTGAATATTATAGAAAAAAATATTTTACACCCAACTCACATACTATTGTGACCACATTTGTTTAAACAAACAGTTTTAAAATTGAACATGAAAAAAGAAAAGGTCTTAAAATTTTTAAAAATGTCTTTTATTCTTATGTTTATGTAACAACACAACACAGGAGAAAGTCCTAATGAAGGAAAACTTTGTTCTATAAAGGAAAAAAAGTCTAAATAGCTTAACAATAAAGTTTAAAATCTATTAAATGGAATAAAAATGAGTAGATTGACCTGCTGGCAATTGTACATGCTTAGCTAGATACAGGTATTGTGTTTCAACCATGTAATGTTCACCTTGGCTCGCACAAAGTTAGCCACATGTTTACTGTGCACACAATACGGACATCATTCTTCCTTCAATAATAATTTAATTTGTGTTGATTTTATTTTTAATTAAAATATTTTTATTATTTATCATTCTGTTCCTAAACGGTTGAAGTTTAAACCCCGGTATAAAGATGAACATGTACTTTAAGTTTAAAAAAATGTACTTTAAGTGTTATCTACACAGAAGCTGTTGGTAAACCTTTTTATTAAATAAATAAACATGTGATTTGACATTATATTGTGATGTTACTAAGACTTCGCTGTCTGTTTGTCACCAGGTGATAGCTATATAGTTGAAATTCGTATAAATAACTATTACATAAATCCACTATAACAACAAATACATTTTTTTTAACAACAGTGATTTTGTTTGGCCTCCTGTAAAATCACTCACACGGCGAAATACAACGCTATAATTGTTTCACGCCGGTTTTCTATAAGGCCGTTGTATCACTCCGGTCGAGCTGACCCATTCGTGTCGAAGCATTGGCTCTCACACACAAGAATTGTTCTGTTTCGTGGGCGCGTTTACATACACAAATGAATATAGGAAGCTTTTACATTGTCATTGTGAGTTCAGATGCGGCTAGATGTCAAAGTAATTTGTGAACCCGTTGAGTCTTAACTATACTACAACGAATTTGCGGATGACTTGTAGCAAAAAGTTCCTTCTACTATTTGCTTTTAAACGTGACAGCATTGCAAAAAACCTTACGAAACTATCAAATAACAGATCTCGTCGGTCATTTGGACAGAGATGCAACAGCTAAGCAAATTCAGGGCTTCGACTTGGGCTAGATTTCGAAATGATCTAACCAATATTGTAAACGAGATACTTGTTATTATAAATGGATGTTTGTTACTCTTTTTCGTAATATTACTGAACGGATCCGAATGAAATGATTTTACCCTGCAAGGTACGGCGGGCAACTGGTAGAAACTACTCGGTCATAAGCCAAGATATAGTCCTGCAATTGGTTGTAGATTACAAATGAATGATGGAGAAAATGACAAATAATATTGGCAAATTTGCAATCGGAAGGGTACTAAGTAATAGACAATTTTCCCAACCAGAGATAAGGAGCACGCATTATAAGCTCCGCCAGCCAACCTCAAATCACGTAGAATCCCCTATCCATTGACTGTTGTTTTCAGTATCAAAAACATTCTAATTTTAAATTTCAAAACGTGTCTACGCTTTTCCCTGAATTAAACCACGTGGTCTGCTTATAAGATTGGCACGGTGTTTCTGTTTTTTTTTTATTTTTTCCTCGCTTGTTACTTTTGTAGACTTTTATCAGTTTGCTGCGTCTAAACTAGAAAGTGTAAGGCGATTTTTATTGACTACATAAAATTAACGTCTAAGTAGACTTAGCTCATCTTCCATGTTATAGAATACTTGTCTATAAAACTTTGCAATTACGATATAAGCAACTACTTACGAACTAACTATCCAAGCTTTATGGAACAACACGACTTGAGAACTGTTGAAAGCAAATGTCATTTACCTTACGTATATAAACATTCAGAAATACATATACGATTATTTTCGGTTTTTAATAGACCGACTTATCGCTTCGACCTCATTTTGAATCGTGATTTTATCGTTCAGTTGTGTTGGAAAATTATTTAAATTTTTTCTCAATGAATTGGTTTTCCATTTTTGAAATGAGAAAGATTACGCTAACTTTTCCGTAGATGCCATTTATGAGTTCGAACTTGTCTTTAATGGGACGAAACATTAAAGACAAAACACGTGTGTTTCGAAAAGAAACGCACGTGTGATACTTGTTATTATTGGCTACAAAGAAGATAGCTGCTTTTGAGAGATAAGATGCTTTAGGATAATTCTAAAAGAGATTTCTTGTATGAATTTTACCTGAACGTTCTCTCCCATTTACGCGTTTATCATATCCAACTCTCACCAAGTCGTGTCATCGACACATGTTGCCAACAGAAACATTTCGCCTACGCATTGTCCACTGTCTAAACGAAAAATAAAAAGCAGTTCAACGACCCATAATAAAAACTCACAATAAACTTTCAGCCAAGAAAACGGTGCCTGAGGAGGTTACGAAGTATTCGTTCCGGTTGAAGGTATGGCGTCATTTGGAGTCCAATGGACTGGCAATGTTCCCGAGGCCGGTCTACAACAGGATCCCTAACTTCAAAGGCGCCCCAGAGGCCGCAGCCAAGTTGGCTGAACTGGACGTGTTTAAGAATGCTAGCACCGTGAAAGTCAACCCTGATAAACCGCAGGAGGCTGTGAGGTTAGTGCTTATTTGAGATTTTATGCTATGATGATGTTAAACAACTGATTTCGGCGTTGTTTTCGAGTTTATATTTGTTTAGTGTCTTAAATTGGAAGCTAAATTGAGCCTATTACCATTTTATTAGGAATTGAAAAACATTAAAATGAAGAGAATAACCTAATAGAACGCAGGTTTCAGATTTTTTTTTTTAAATAAATAGATATCCTTTTTTTTACCGACCTAGCAATCTTAGCTAGATTGGCAAATAGATTGATGTCTTTCCGATCTATCAGAAAATACCTATCGTTAAGAGAACTCTGAACCGCCTAGACAAATCGGAATACTTCAGTCTCAACATTATTAAAACAGCAAATCTGAATTCAACACACATCTTTGAGTATAGGTATTTACCTCGTAAAGAATGAATAAAACATTATGTAACCATTAATTTCCATGAAAGTGAAGATTATTACAAGTTCAAGGTTATCTGATTAAAGCGAGCTGATTCCAAGGAAGATTGCTGAACGATACTTAATTTCTTCGACCTTTTAGACAAGGGACTTTTTAACAGCTAATAAAATTTCAAAAATTCGGCCTATGGAATGATAGCCGAATGCAAATGTATTCAAAAATAATTGAAGTCGGTAGATATATTATGTGGCCTTGTCAGTGCAAATTCTTGTCCTTGACCCCAAAGATTTGGCAGAAATCACAGTGCTGCGTAAGATGCTTAAACCGTTTATCATTATCTTCCTCCACGTTCATAAACAAAGCCGAACATGGATGTCGTATAAATAAAGTAATAATACATTCTAACAATAAAATAGCAACGAAGTTTTGAAACTATCGCGAAGAAAGTTAAGCACGACACAAAATGGAGTATCATACTAACATAGCTCGCATTGGTACCTCTTATATCATCCTTTCGTGTAGTTGCTTCGTTCCGCGCCGCTGCCTGATTGACGGCTCCTAGCCTAGCATAGCACAAGTCTTGCGAATTTAAAACGTTACCTTTATAGTACGTCGCGCACAGTTGAATCCAGTTAGCCGACGAGCACGGGACACATTCCAGAACACGTATAATACAAGGTTAATTTTAGACTAGCATAGAGGTGTCTCACCGAACCGCCTAAATACTGTAACTGAAAGAATTATAATCACTTTTCCGACGATTTTCTCTGCCAAACGATAGTAGGAAGAGTTTTGAGATATTATCTCATTGCTGTAAATGTTTTCATTGTTCTCACTAAATAGTTTGTAAAGGTAAAGGTGAATGACCTATAAATTATTTTAAGGGCTTCGATGAAATAATTACTATTATATATTTTGGATAGCTTAGCAATTCGTGCTCTTCGTGTATTTGTTTTTTTACATAACTACCACACCTCCCTGCACCCTACCCCCTATCACACGGGATTTCAAATTTGTAATCTGTGTTTTCATATTATTGAATCTGTGATACACTTGTGAAATAATACGAAAGTGAATAGTACCCCAATATTGTTGATACCACTTGAAGCCCTCTGCCTAATAAATAATTTACAATCGACGGCTATACAATAGAACGATATTTATAGGGAAATTCTATTAACCCTTTCATTTAAGTCACAATAGAACTATTCCTAAACATTAACTCTAGATCGACCATTAACATTAACGCAATCTTAATGGCTTTGACCACAAAAATATCTATTTCTATTTATTCGTCATTAGATGTCTTCCCCGTTCCATATGTCCATATAATTAATGTTTGTCAAAATCATTTGTTTTAGATAAAATATCATCATCATTTGCTAGTCAACACATAATGTTTTCTGTTATAAACATATATATGAGAATATTTCAATTAATTTCAATCTTATTGTCCTACTTTACTTATGACAAAACGCACCATAACGCGTTGGTAATCTAATAGAAATTTGACGTTTTAGAAAAAATGCAACTATTGTATTTGGCAGTAAAAAAATTTCTTTGTTCGTCCAGTATAAACTGTCGTACTGCCAAAGTTTCTAGAAATTAATTTATAATGAGACGTTATTGTTTGTGTTATTAAATACAAAGCAAGTTTGTTACCAGTGGATACTTGTAAAGTCCAAGTACCTACGTTGATTATTTACGCAACCCATGACCAATATCTTGGGTAACGCATTCCATACTGAATGTTTTATAACTTTCTGCTTTATTACATAAGCTACTAGAACCGCTGAAAATTTATACGTCTTACTAACTATAATTTAATATACTTTAATGCGCGTTACTGCATTTGTGTTAGATTATTAATTTGCTAAAGAAAAATCATTATATTATAATGTAGGTAAATCATGTTGCATAAAATAATCCGCTTACTTATTCATGGAGCGAAGAAATGTTTTCAATAAAGCTGTTTTGCACTATTAAAGTGTCATAAAACGGGGTGAATAGGATTCCAAGGATGTTAAAGATACAGAAGAGGAGTGAGTCGATGTTGGGAAAGTGTTCGAGTACCTCTAAAACCCCCTAGGCTGTTTACTCGTTTTACCGGTATTTAGGATTGTTTGGTAGTAGGTTGTGCTCAGATCACGCAATTAAGTATATATCTGTAAACATATTTTAATTATCAAAGTCAAAACAAACTGCTACGTAGTGATAGATTCGTTTTACTATCGGTATCTTGCTTCCAAACCTCAATAGAATATACACATACCTATACCTTTTGAATTATTCTATACATAAAAAAAAACTGCATCAAAATCTGTCACGTAGTTTTAAAGATCTGAGCAAACATAAGGAAAGCGATTTTGTTTTATACTATGTAGTGATAGTGATTAGTACAAATAGGGAATCCAGTAAATATTATATACATATTGTTTGATCTGATATCAGCTTGTTTTAACATAATTATCGAACAGTACATTCCACGGATAATTATATGTGACCCTTGCAATCACTGTGACAACTCGTGTCTTTACTTAGTAATGTTGTTAAAAAGCTTAATATTAAACTAAGATACTGCTTTTTCTTGCTTTTATTTGACTATGTTATTGGCGCGTATTGTGGGTCTAGCGCCTATAATATGCCTCACCTATGTACATAATAGGGTTTGGAGATCTCAGTTTATCGCAGCAGGGTCTTTGATAGACTTACAGTGTATTGGTTGGCTCTTACTACAAATGTGTATGTGTGTGTTTTTTCTATATCGTTTTCAAAAGTCACTAAATACATCAGTATCTATCACCTGAGGATTATGGTGTTGTTTCGGACGGGTTGCGGGCAAATACAATTATGTTCTGCGGCCAGGTTTGCAGCAAGAGCAAGAGCAGAGAGGTTTTTAATCAGTAAAAGCCTGAAACTTTATTGCCCAAGTCAGGGCGAAAAAGTCGATAGATGATGCCCTTTTTACCCGACTGCCAAAGAAGGAGGGTAATGTTTTTCGAGTGTATGTAAGTATGTATGTATGTCTGTTCCTTTGTGACCTCCTGTAGCCCAAACGGCTTGATGGATTTTGATGTATGAGGTATCGTTAGATTTGTCTTGATTACGGGAGTGTCATAGGATACATTTTATCCTAAAAGTCCCACGGCATAAAGACATAATAATATTTTTTCTAAATTTCCCTTTAAAAAAATATGTATGCGGTATCATTAGATTCATTTCAATCACGGGAGTAATTAATATAGGATACGTTTTTTCTCAAAATTCCCACGGGAACATGTTAATTCTGCGTCAACGCAAAGCAACTCATGCGTTAGCAAGCAAAAAGATAGGGCGTGGCCTGGCTTGCGGCGCGCGGCGCGGTGCGGAGGGGGATATGCTCGAGTATACTTACAGCCCGAATGCGGGCACACGCATAAGGGCACACGTCGTTGACGGTCGTCTCTAAATAGCGATTTTTTCGATACTTCATCTACAACATTTTCGTTAAATAAAAACAGCTAAAAAGTTATAAATAAAAAAAATATTATTAAAAAAACAAAATACCCGACTGCACACTAAAAAAAGAGTAAAACAAGCCCAACAATACAAATTTACTGAATATAATTTATAAATGTTGATGGAAAGCATCGCAGGCGGGGACCACCTTGACCGCCACCAACGAAAATTCTGCTAAATGGTGCACAACAGAAATGACTATAAATAAGCCTCTGTTGGTCCCCGCCTGCGATGCTTTCCATCAACATTTATAAATTATATTCAGTAAATTTGTATTGTTGGGCTTGTTTTACTCTTTTTTTAGTGTGCAGTCGGGTATTTTGTTTTTTTAATAATATTTTTTTTATTTGAGTATATTTTAACAGATGTGCTATGTGTTGTGTATGAATATTAATAATCCGTTGAATATTTTACAGATATTATTGCCAAATTAATCAATTTGGATTATATCTACCGATATCGTTTGGCAGTGCGATTATCCCCGTAGTAGTAACGTTGCTATTCTTGTTAGCATTGGATTAAGTTATTAAATCGCTGGATTTGATTAAAACATTTCACTTATAGACGCAAATAAGATTGACTTAATCTGATGATCTGATTTGGTATTAGATTCATCGATTTGAAGAAGGTATCTATGATACTTTGCAAAAATAAAACTCGTTTGAAGACTATGAAAATTTTTTTAGGTATATTTTTTGCTAGATTTTTATACATTTTTGAAAGAATTATATGGGGAGTTGGTATTTATTTTGTGAAAAGGTGTTCGTAAAATTCTCTAATTATTTTCAAGCTACAAATAATGATTATGATTTTTTTATATTACGAATCTAGTAAATGTTGGAATGACGGCATCTTCCCGGCTGTCTTATATTGAGTAACTTTACAATAAATGCATGTGTTATATACTTACACCTAAAAATAAGAAATTCATCCGATTTATTTCAACCTGTAATTAGAGACAAACCGGATGTTTGGGATTTCAACGCCTGTTAAACGGTCCATTCGTGATCATAAATCAAAGTCTTGAAGTTATAATGATTTTATAACTTAATTAAGGATTCTTAAACTTACTCAACTATGCGTATCCACTTTCACGTGAATACTATAGTCGATTCATTGCTACAAATAATTTTCTGAAATATTTTGTTGTGAGAAACCAGAACATATTTTCACACTTGTGTTTTTAAGGAAAAAAGGTTAAATTAGGTGTAATGTTGATACAAGTTTGCAGAGTGTTAAAATTTCTGACAAGGTAACGGAAAATCTGAAATAGTAAGACTACGAAACAAACTTTTCTCGACATATTGTCGAACCGAGGACCTAAAGAGATAAACAACGGAACCGAACCGTCACTTTGTCCGCTCCAAACTACTCCATGATGTAGTAACTATGTTCAGAGGTTCGTCTCACATTTTCTATGGAAACCAGTAAACCGCTGATGATATGCCGGTTGGATTCGACCGTCCATTTCTTCTTTTATGCGTACTCGACTAATAATATTACGTGCTTTGCATTATGCTAGTATTGTTGGTTTCAAAACTTCGTAAAACTGTTAATTCCTGTATATATGCTTAAATAGTTACAGTAACATCGGCACTTCTTCCTTGCCATTTATAGCCACCGCTTACTCAATTGGTATTTAGTTGCATCCTGAAACTACATATTTATATCATTGATAAACGGCGCGGCGTCATGAATAATCGCAATCGATTAAAATAATTGTTTTTTGGACTCCACTGCACACTTAAACTAAACTCATTGATCGGTTTCTCTTGAGTATTCTTAGCACTATCCTAAAAAGGATTTTTAACAACTCGCCTCAAAAAACTAATTTTCCGCCAATTTAGTTAGTTTGCCGTGTAATATGAAGTGAGTCCACCTGTCGCAATCCCAAAAACTAAAAAGAGAAAAATACATTGCGTGACCAAACCAAAATACACTCCGAGGATGATTCAGTTTGAAGATTATAATAAATGCTTTACATATTAACTCTGGCTAGAGACAGTAATAAAAGTACTAAGCCAGGTCCTACTACGCTAACGACTTTCACTCACATTAAATGATCACACTTGCATAATTCTCCATATATTACTATCACGCTACACGAACTGAATAGAGCATATTGCATATTGGACCGTAATTGAATCCTTTAATACAGTAATCCACGTTTAGGAAAAGAATAGCTACTTTTCATAAAAAAAGGTAATTTTTAAATTCACGTAAATTTCCACTAGTGAATAAAGATACACAGGTATATAACATTTGTTATGTATTATGTTGTACGGTGGCGCCCTCATGAGGTCCTTCTGTTGATTCTGCTTTCTGTGCCAGTAATGCTGCTTCAGGCAAATTAGTTTACAAAGATCTCATTGCGGAAAATTTTAAAAATATTTGGAATTTTTGCACTCTTCCATTTAATAGCATTCAACAATTCAATCAAGTCCGGGTGGAAGACATAAATGCTAGGTACTCTTCGAATAGTTTCAATTGTGCTATGCAATTGTTCAGTTAACCTAATTTGTGGTTAGGTTTATGTTAAATTTTACCAGAAGACAAAGGCGAGCGTAAACCGTTTCGCTTGTTTCGAAGAGCGTGTTAACTATCAGATGAGTCGCCGATCTTTATTGACATAATAATTCCTTCAATGGTGCAAAAACGTTACATGAGGTCTAAAACCGAGAAAAATTAAGACAGACATTGCTTAATACATTTTGCCATGTCTTCTTAACTCTGACCCTTTGCGTCTGTCTATAATTCTACATGAACCAGATGAAATTAAAAACTACTGAACACGTCTTTGAATGGTTTCATCAATGACGTGTAATTTTAACAACGCTGGAGGAAAGCTGTTGGTGTATATTTTATAATATTTGAAGGTCCGGTGCCCAAAGAAATAACACTCGTTTTAATTTTCAGGGTAATTTGCCTAGAGCAACAAAAGACCCTGTACGTGCCGGTGCCTCGTCTGCAGAAAGGGTTCCTAAACCGGCTGGAGCTGCCTGAAGGAGAGACTGGCCCAGCAGCCATCAGGAAGGCCGTCTCGCGCAACGGAATGGAGTCCTATGGAAAGCCTATTGGTCAGTGTGTGAATGTAAATTTTCTTATTCACCATCTTATTATCTTGTATTGAAGTTAAGAATTTAGTTGTTACCACAGATTATACTGTGTTTTTTGAATATTTTATGGGTGAAGATTGATTTGCAAAAGTAATTTGAAAATTTCTCAATGAAATTTTTACTTCTTTTGAAAGATAGACTTAACTTGTATCCCTAGAAAAACAATCTGCTGATCAGTGACACTCCTTTCTATTCAAGACTACGTTCTACGTCAACAAAACTACGAAACTGGCATACATTCTCTTCTTCGAACCATTATGGTATTAGTATGACATCATCAGTAAACAGGTGCGAAGTATCTCTTTTGTTCAGGCTCGACCTTGGAGGAGCAAAAACTGGGCTGTTTATTGGCTCTTTTATCAAAGACGCATTGACTCATAAGTATATAATGTGGTGAATTGTTCAATGAACCGGGCTTATTGATCAATTACACCTATATTAATATTGACAACTGAAGTCCACGCGGAGAATGAAAACGAAACTGTGTCATCCGTTTGTATTTATACGGGAAAAATAAATTTGATTGACGAAATAAATTATATATAAAGGAAGGTAGGTTATTTATAGGTCAGCAAATATAATATTCACCTGTGAGAATATCTGAAAGACCGCATCTATCCTTACTACACGTTTTCTTCACTGTGTCATGCCTTGTTATACAGAAATAGTGTCAATATGGTCTCTTGTACCTTTATAGAATCATGACACTACCAAAATCTGTTCTATCCATCTAAGTAAGGACGTTTTCAGATTCACTTTCTAATTTGTGATTCTGTAAATGCATTAACAGATTTCATAATGTAAATGACCTTGCTTGTGTATATAAACACCCACTACTTAACTGTGTGCCACTACACCCACTTCTGTCCATGACTGGGGTGTGCGTGTACGTCATAGACGATGTCAGCTCTCGTCGCCTCAGTAATCTTAAAGGGACCTTTTCATTCGTCCTAGGCGTCCTTTTATATGACCCATGGCGAGTGATAACGAGACTGGCTAATGAATTACACCCAAGATGGCTTTAGCTTTTGTACACGAGCATCATTTTACCTGGCACCTATTTATCCACAACTTGAGCTTGATTACGACCCCAAGCGAATCACAGATATGTAACAGCAGAGGCTTTCTTTGTTGGACCTTCTGCTGACCTATCATCTGGACTCCAATCATCTATCAGTTGTTGCTCTAATTGGCACATTAGACCATTGCCTCGTCCGGAATACCGCTGCGATATAGCTGCTCGTGGTCGCCGTGTCACTACAGGTCAGCAGAAGGATGGCATTTAGTCTTCTCGAAAATAATGGTGTCCATTATTAACTGCCAGCTCCTTCGGTACTCCGACGAATATCGGCTTCTTAAAGACCGACTGATACGGTTTCTGAAAGGTCGGAGCGCTGGTGATCTTCTAGTTGATTTCATACAGCGCAGACTTGGCAAAGGCGATTGAAACTAAGGTAGCAGCGCTGGTAGTCAGTTTGGACGTGTCGATGGCTTTTGATCGGGTTTGGTATTTAAGCTTCTTTCAATGCTATTTTCCTATGGACGCCCCGAATAATTTTTGGAATGGCTCTATACTGCTTGCTCGCAGACAGGCCCGACTTCATGTCTGTGAAAGCTAGTGTCCCCCATGATTGCCTGCTATCGCCCACCCTGCAACATAAACTGTATATTCGTTTGTTGTAAAATACTGAAAGCAAACAATAAGTTTATGGAACTCCAGAAAGGACACAGGATAATTTTTATACCAAATATCTGCAGGAAGTCACTATTCCACGCGAACGAATTCGTGGGCAAAAGCTAGTTTGTTAATATTTTGTTAAAAGTTTGCCTCAGTTATTTAGATTAAAAAATTAAGTAATTTTTCTTTTCTGTTTCTCTAGGCATAGAAGACTCCGTTTCGCTTGATTTGGTCGTAATGGGATCAGTAGCTGTGTCCAAAGAGGGATACCGCATTGGCAAGGGTCGAGGTAAGAATTTGAACTAAGCTCTAAACCGTCTAAATATATTGTCCTTGAGGTTATTTTCTTTATCTCATTGATTATTTGGCTAGATATTACTTAGTTACTCTGTTGGCATAATGGGACCAACTTTATTAACAAATAATTTAATTCTAAAACTCATTGAATAAGAGTAACAGTGGAGTTTGTTCTTCTCCATTGTAATCTTTGGAACGAGAAAATAACTTCACTTGGGGACTGACCGATAGACTTTTTTGTTCGACATTTCAAAGTTTTGAATGGTTTTATAATGGTCTAATTGAAATGAAAATTGACTTTTATCTCATAATATTACGTATTTGTTTTCATATTACTATTTATTATTACTTTATAAATTTTAAGTTAAAAATAGTACTTATTTATTTGAAACGTAAATTCCATTATTGATTGGCTTCATATTACCTATCCTCTAAACAACTTTTCATGATGTCATAAAGAATTTTATCTAAGTCAATGAAGTTTAATGAAAATACTGATGACGAATTCTTAGTAAGGTAGTTTTTATAACTGTATTATAAATGGTATGTATTGTAATAGGCTATGGCGACCTCGAGTTCGGTCTGATGATGCACATGAAAGCCATCAAGCCAAACACACTGGTTGCCACAACTGTGCACGATTGCCAGGTAAAAATAATATAATGGAGAAGTTTATGCTCATCACGTTACAACCACCAAAAACTTCTGACAATTTAACACCGAGGCTTTTTGGTTTAGCCTTCTATGATGAATTATAACTCTTAACACCAAGCCAAAACCTCTCCATGACTTCTCAATGTTTGTTTGTATGTGTGTGCATCATGTATGTCTCATTTACATACACCAACAAGTTCTCCTATACCTACATAACCTATTAATGTATTATTAATACTTTGCACTCATATTTTTTACATGTAACATACATATAAAATCCTTAACCTTTTCCATTCTATTCCTCCTTTTAATATACATACATACATATACGTTATATGTTGAAGTATTAGAGGTATATTTCATTTGGACACCATGGTATATGGAGACAATTTGTTCTCAATCTACAACCAATTGCGCGGCCAGACTTTGGGGTGGTTTTTCTATATAAAATTCAATTCTGAACCTATAAAACTATCTAAGAGCTGAGGTGGTATAGTCATATAACATAAACAACATTCAACATAAACTAACAAACAACACCGTAGGGACTTAAAACCCCTAAAATTACAAATAGGGCAAAGTCATTGTTAAATCAATTCTATTTTTTGTTAATACATGTATACAAATACAGATCTTATAACCTACCCGTTTAAGGTTCCTTTTACCTTTTGTGTAAAGAGGCGAGAGGAAGTATGAAAGTCACTAAAAACCACCCTGTTACAAATACAATCTCCATCCTATTTGTTCGGAGCCACGATATAAGGCCAACCTTGCCCGTGACCCCAGAACTAGTTGGCCAAGGTCTATATAAGGTCGTATGTATGAGGACATTACCAGCTCTAGTGTTTATTTTTGTCCTCGCGTGATATGCCCACGGTGTCCCAATGAGATAGGGCCCTCGGCCTTTTAAATGTACATGTCTATAGAAATTACACATGGAGTTTGTATTAAAAGTATTGTTCTATTTTAGGTGTTCGACACACTTCCGGCAGAATTGTTCGGACCGCATGACGTCCCGATCGATATCATTGTCACACCGACTCAGGTATGTAACGAGCTTTATTTATTTTTAAGTAATTTCGTTTGTAAGAAATAAATAACAGGTTTACAGACCTACTTTCCTTGTTAATTTATTATTTCTTTCCTTTTTAGTTTAGTTTAATTAATAATAATTTATTCCTTTTTGGTTTATTAAATTTTGCAATCATGGTAAACTTTATTACGTTATTACACAAAATAGTAAGATAGGTAGGATAAAATAGGTGCGCGAACACCGGCGTTCGCTTGGGTTTTTATGAATTAAGGTGTGTGTGTTTTAGTACAGTTGGTTGTTTAAAGTTACTGTAATGTTCATTTTGTCTACGTAATAGTCAGTCTGTTAATAAAACATTTTGATTTTTGGCAATTTAATAATAAGGAAAATATTTCTCCCAGGTGATATCAACTCAACGTATGAGCCAACGGCCAGTGGGCATTCTGTGGCATTTATTGTCCAATCGTCGCCTCGAGCTCATGCCCATATTGGGACAACTGCGTGAGATTGAAATGCTGTAAGTTAACATAACTTTTATTTATAGTTCAGTACCTGGATAACTGAGCCGTGATTGGCATTTTTTTTAACTTTCCTGAAAATAAATCTCGCTCCCGATAACCCATGTATACAAAAAGTAGTGAAAATAGCTTAAGCCTTTTCTGAAAATTAGATTATAAGTATATTTATATATAAGAATTGCTCGCTCGAAGATAATATATTGAAAATGACACTACATAGCAATGCGACTTTCATCTCCCTTACTGAGTTGTTAATACCAATTTTCGGTCACACCGGTCACCAAATTCTTTTAAATAATGGTGAATATTATCGCCACTATTACTATATCATATTATGACCTGGTGGATTCAGCTTAGATCCTTTCTTTATGTCGTTGGAAAGATGCGTTCATCTATTTATGGAGCTCCCTTAGGCCAGGGACTTATAAACCACCACCGCTACAACTACTTTATACTGTGTATTGTTATGTGAATAAATGAGTATTATTTATTCGGTTGCAGTGCGGGCCGTGCGTGTCCCCTGAAGGAGGTAGACACGGACGTGGAAGAACGCGCCGCGCAACGCCCCCGTCGTCTAAGACACCGTACTCGCTCGCATAAGAGCCAGAGCGAGGGAGAGGTACTGTACCATTCTTAATAAACTGTATATTTATTATAGTAACATCACTAATTAGTTAGACTAAATAGAACACCACTAGAACTGTCTTTGTCTTTTATAAATTTCTTAAGCTCCGATACAGGAACTTGAGAAATAGAGCCTACAGTTTAAAAACTAGATGGCGCTAGTGTGCAAAATGGTCTTTTCCTCCAATGGGAAACTTCTCCTAGTCATACCATTAGACTTAAAAATTTTGACAGCTACAGTGATGAACTAAATAGACACCTTTGAAAATGATCATAAGTCTCCTAGATTCACTCGTGTACCTTTGATACGTGAATCGTATTGAACACTACTAACTCACTACCAGGTTTCTCTGGCAGCCCTGCGCTCCATGGGTTTGGTTATTAACCCCTCAGATGTCGCGGCCATTTTTGCAAATATTGCGCATATGTCAGCAGTACGTACTACAGGTGGGGTGGCGAAAAATTGGCGCGTAATATTAAAACACCGATATTTTTGAAATTTGTAGTAACAACTATGCACTATCATATATTGTTGCAATCGTAATGAAATATACTAACAGGCTACATACTTTATAGTTTATATTTAACATGTAATATAATGTTAAATCTAAAGTGAAATTAAGAGAAGTGTTTTTTTCCCACTTTATTCGTTATAAGTCGCTATTAAATTAGTTTATACATTATAATGTTTGCTATCTACACATGAAAATATTTGCATCAGTAACTTGACTTAAAATGTCACTTTTCTATTTCGCAGGGTAATACCACGGAGGGCGAAGAAGGCAAAACGGGCGGCAAAGCGCGTCGTTCCACGCGCCGGCGTAACAGTCAAAAGTCTGCCAGCAAGGACAAGGACGAGAAACCACGTCGTCCAAAGAGACAACGTCCTGATATCGACTTTTCTGTCAAGGTAATAAGGTTAACATTCATTTAACTTTAATCCGAAAACCATAATCCTTGCCAGATAGAACCGCGATAATCTGACTAAGAACTGTGTCTATTTAAAAGGTGCTTCTTACAAACATAAAATTTCACCTAAATTTCATCCAATCAGAACCGAAACAACATTTTGTGGATCACTCAACGGATTATATCCAACCGGGCAATTATTTGCAGTTATTTATCGAAATATATGTTGTTCCAGATTTCCAACATAAGTCCCAATACGAGAGTGCGCGATCTGAAGCAGGCGCTTTCTGAACGCGGAGTCAAGCCACAGATCATGGTTTGGAAGGTAAATCGATCTTGTTACTGTTCAATGACCCTCGACTAATTTCGAGCATTATTACTATGGGACTCGGCGAGATTTGAAACTAGTCTAGTAGTCCCGACAAAATGTTATGTAAGCTTGTTTATTTAATGGAACAACATGTATAAATGGGAAATTATTCTAACGTTTTGATTTAATTTCCAGGGATTCCGTGGCTTCTGTTATCTACACTTCTTCAAGCCAAGCCCACAGAAGGTAAACTTCTTTTTTATTAATACTTATTATCGTTTATTAGCTTCAACAAGCTTCGGAATGGTACCACAGCCATACCTAAAACAATACTTACCTTTTATTTCGCCATGTAAATGAGGATACTAGATTTCAGAAGATTTGAATAATTCCCCTATATTTATTTACGGTGGCCTAGCTTCTTTGTACAAATTTAATCTCTTTTAGAGTACCAGAAGCAGTGTCGATGTTGCGTGTACTATAACAATTTTAGTATTATCAGCTGAACTAAAACTAACAAGGTATTGCGTTAATTCTTTTACACCTTGTTTACTCAGTTGTTGGTTGTATTGTATAATGTTACTAGCGGCCCGGCCCTGCTCCGCATGAATGTCTTTCTAAGTGTCAGTAATTTGTTTTACATTTCTTGCCGAAATGTTATTTTATAAGAATGTTCTTTTACCTCAGCACTGCATAAAATAATTATCGTAATCGGTCTAGCAATACACGAGTGACGCCATTACTAAGGCATATTGAGATTGTTTTACATAATTACCTATAGACTATTCTCCCTCGCGCGGTTTCACTCGCTGCTCGGCTCCTATAGATCGTAGAGTGATGTTTTATAGCCTATAGCACTTACGCACATTGTCATTGTCTAAGGCAACGAATTTTGAAAATTGACTAGCCGTTCCATACCTTACCCCCACATAAAAACTTATAAATTTTTATAATATGTATTCGTATAGATTCTGATACTCGTGTTCAGTAAAAAAGTTCTGTCTTATGTTAAGGACTGCACGGTTGGTGCCGTGGCTAGGCAATTGACTGCCGCGTAACGTGGCGCGGGTTCGATTTCCGCACGGAATAACTGGTGTGTGAACGCACCGACGACACAGGAGAAAATCCTAGAGTTGGGCAACATTAAAAAAAAGATATAATGTTATCGTTTTGTATAATGTACAGGGCGAGGGTGATAGTGGGTCTGGTGTGAGCATGGAGAGCGTCCTGTCTGCGCTGGCGCAGATGTCGCTGGGCGGCAGCGGGGGCGCGGGGGAGGGCGCGGCCGGCGCCGGGGAAGAGCCGCGCGACGACAAGCCGCGTCTGCTCTGCGTCGAGCCCGCGCCGCCGCGACACGAGAAGCCGCAGGCTGAAGTAAGTATATCTAGTTACTATTCTGGGTTGCGCAATGAGTTACCACGGCCTCTGCCCAGAGCAGGCGAAGGAATGGGGTGATTTTAGTCAGCTTGGTTTTACGCACGCATCAGCTTTCTAGGCTGCTAGTGTGTTCAAATATAATTCACAAGTTTCCAGCAATCTTTGCCCAACTTATATTTATATGAATTTCGAAAAATTTACAACAAAATTTCTATTTCAGGTTCATTAAATTGCAAAAGGCGATGGACTCCAAAATGTATCCCTCGATATTTTGTTAACTACTACCTTATGATTATTTCTAAAACACGCATATATCGTTGATCGCTTGGTTTTGCACTCGGACTGACGGGTTCCCTGTCGCATTCCGACACTAATTTGTATAACGTTAAGGTACCTTTTTCTTTGCGCCGGCCCTACTACAATGAAAGATGGGCGCAATGCATACTGGCGTCTTAGTTGCATCCGTCACTACGGGACATGAGCCGCAGTGTGATGTTGGGAGTGTATACTTTGTTTTGTAAGAGTGCCGAGGCACGGTTCACTTATGTTGTCTACGCGCAGTATGCAGCGCGCCCTCTACCCGAAGTAGAAGCGAGGAGGTTCGATTTTAGTTTGTGTCGATAGTTCGGACATGTGTTCGCTCGATGGTATTTAGTTCTTATTTGTATGGGCCGGCCTCTAGAGTGAACTATATTTATACACTTAACGAAAATTATATCTTTATGAATGTTTTAGTTGTCTCTAGTCTAAAGTTAGCATGTAATTGAACGTTGTTTCTATAAAATGTTTATGGTTCCGCGTTTGTTTCAATGCAGATACGTTTAAGCATTCTTCCATAATTATATTACGAGAAAAGAAGCTATATTTTTAGTATATAGTATAGATTGAACTAAAACTATAAAGTTTATATTTAATATTGTAAGGTGCTTTGAAGAACGGAGTCCCGAACTTTGTTTAGAAATTAGTTTGGAAGGATTTGATTAGTGTTAAGAGTATTTATTTTATTGCGAAATTTGGGGCTCCGTTTTTTATCTAGTTGTATATTTGTGCCAACTTTGTTTGAATATCTCCCAACTTGTTAATAAAATTTCGCGTAATTAAAATCTGTAGGCGGTATCGCAACATTTGAAAGTTTGTCTTGGACTATGATACATTTTAAATTTAACATATCGAAATGTAAGTTGGTATAAATATTTCCATCTGCGGATGTCAAAGTTACTTTTTCAGTATTAGGTTATCTGTAATTTAAGACTTGAAAAGTAATATATTATTGACATAATAAGATAATATATTTAAACTATATACTTCTTAGTCTGCGAACTAGTCGTTCGCACTGCATTGGTCTCTCTTAGCGTAAAAGATGTTGTATTTTATATAGAAAGAGGTATTTTATTAACGTATTTTTCGAAATTTTTAGTTATATCGGGTTGCATAATATTATATAGCTTTGTCGTTTATATTTACTGGCATTTTCTCGTTACTGTTAGCGTCTGTACACGTACACTCGCGCAATGAAGCGTTATATCGTCTGTTACATTATTGTTATTCTCACTCAGCAAGTTTAAGCACTACAAATATATATTTATGTATATAACTTGTTAACATATGCTATTTACTAGTTTATTTTGTAATTTTATAACGTTGGGTAGCAAGCATGGACGAGCGTTTTTTTTGTTTTGTATTTTTTTTAATAAATTTATTAAACACTTTATTTTTTGCTTTTTATTTTTAGTTTGCGGTGCTAGCTAATTATTCCTATTACTACGAAACTTTGTGGATCCAGGTAGATGAGATATGAATATAATTCATTACTAGTTTTTTAAAATTGAAACTTAATGTTGTGATTGTACTTAAAGATTTCGCCGCTTAGAGGTTGAGGGTAAATTCTATTTTTCTAGCCAATTTACTAGTTTTATTTCGTTAGAAGTGTGTGATTTTTCTTTGTAATTATTAGAATCTAATTACTTCCTCCAATTACGTTCCTAGTAAGAATATATATAGGATTTTTTATTTAGCTTCTTTCCGTAAGATATATTTTGAAATAGTATTAAACAATTTTTGTTATTTGTCAATTAAATTCAGTACCTGCAAATGGGGCCTTAGGTCTTGTAAACACTATAAGTACAAAGAGTTATATGTATTGTTATTTTAATTATTTATCAATAAACTATCTTATGATCTGACGACCGAGGTTAATAACCGATCTAATCGAAAATAGAAGGGATTAAAACAAATCGACCCAGAGTAATAAATACATATAAGTATAATTATCGTTAAAACATTCCTTGATAACTGCATTCGTATACCTAAGGAAATATAAAAAAAATGTTGCGATTTCTATGGGGAAATAAAAACAGGTCCCATGGAAAAACTTATTTGAGCACCCAAAATCCTTGAATGTCCTTCGTTCAAAATAACATCCTGTATATTATCATAAGGGTTGATTTTTCAATAGTCAGATAAATGTTATCTGAGAAATAAAATTGTTGCTGTCAGTCTTATACAAGCATTCTGACACAGCATCATAATTATTCCCCAGGTAACTTTTACCTAATCATTGAAAAATCAGCCCTAAAGATGACCCAGGCAAATTCTCAAACGCCAGGTTGTGGAGGGGTGCCTCGGGATGCGCGTGCGCATTAAATATGGCGTTTAAACAGATCGGTTATTAATTTTCGTCGCATCAAATCGTTCGTACAAATCTTTAAAACCATCGTTTTATTTATTTACACCCCACAAATTAATTACATCGTGTCCAATTGAAATGAATCTATGATCCCTGCAAAATATCATCTGATTCTATTCAGCCATTTTGGCGTAACTAGCATACCTACATACTAATAAACTTTCATATTTAAATATCGAGTTACCTATAAACGAATCATTATAATACATATACATAGGTACCTATAACTATGTAATTGAACTTAATAACTGTATTTTAAAAGGCACAAAATTAACAACATTGCGTGCTGTCATTATTCTCATCAAATTGACAAGTAGTAACATGTTTATAAAACGCTTCCCGTCTGATTACTGGGTACAGGCAAATGCAAGCGACATGTTCGTATCTGATGGTACACGCGATTTTGAAAATATATTAAATATAGCAAGAGAGCTATAATGATCATTTTGCTAAACATTTACGAACGGCAATCATGTTGTTTGTTTCGTTTATATTGTTTTCTGTTTTGCGGTTTTGCTTAGGCAATCCACCTGGCGAAGTGGTAAGTGCTACTTAGTTATTTTATAAAGGTCTTCTTTTAGGTTTATATTACTGACTAAACTATCGACTGCACTGTCTGGCTGTGCAACACCTCGTGGGTTCCAGTTTCCATTGGTTTAGCATCATGTCACCTTCGATAAATTTACTACCCAAGTAGCACAAGTATATTAGATATTTTATAGAATTAAACTTAGAATTCTTGCATAATTGTAAATAATCCCTGAAGATATCCTGAAGATATCCTATATACCGAGTTCAGTAAAAATGGGCAACTATCTATACTATAATAACAAGAGCAGCATAAGAATTCATCATTAGATAACGATAAGAGCAATTCATTTTTATCTATAGGGAATATCTACAAGACTACCTTAAGAACACAATAAGAGACACATAAGAAAGGAATTAAGTATTGTAGCCAGCTTTAAGATAACACCATGACTCTACTGATGTTCTAGTGGTGAATTTTTTTAAAACCACTAATAATCAAAATCTACTAAATAAAAATATCAACAAGAGTTACTTCTTTTCAAAAGCATTTCCTATTTTCTAATGGCACTCCGTACTTAAAAATATTTTAAGTTGTAGCTTTAATGGCGAAATGAAATTAAATATATATTTTTTCTTGATCTTCTAAATTTTGTTTCGCGCGAACGGAGGGCGTAAATTCAGTGCCAAATTAATTTTATCGTAAAAGTCGATGAAAGAGTTTCAAAAAACTTACGGGCCTAGTATATTCGTATAATATAACTGATAATTTTATAATAAACAATATTATTGGTGTTCATTTTTTTATATTTTGTTAAAATAAATACGCAAACAATATATTTTAATTAAAATTTAATTTATTTAAGTATTTTTATGTTTAGAAATGAAGAAATACCATATTTTATTGTTAACAAAATTTCTAATTTTTACCAAAGTGGCGATTACCGTCGTGTTCTATTAATAAAAATGGCGTCTAGATTAAATTATCTATAAATAAGTTTTGATTAGATGATTTACTCCTAAAAGGTCATTTTAAGAGCATAACAAGTCAACTTGCACTTTCATCAGAAGAATTAATCTTTTAATAGTAGAATTGTTCTTATAACGATCCTATGGTAATTTATAAAATGGAATATTTATAAACTATTTTTTCTCGTAATTATCTACCAGAGTTTATCAGACTGGCATAAGAAGAAGGTGTTTTTGCGTTTATGTTATTTTTCGGTGCTACAAATACCACAAAGAGCCAGTATTTATATGTTTAAATAGGTTTATTGTGTTCCATACAAATAATAATGTTGATTTATATTAACTACACAGTGCAGCTTGACAATAATATCATTATTAGTAAGAAAACAACAATTGATACCATCATTGCTTACTGAATATTTCTCAAGTTCAATCGTTTTGTAAAAGTGTATTTCTGATTTATTGCTTTCTAATCAAACTTATCAAATCTTTTAATCTTTGTCTTTATGTTTGTTAGTTTATGTGAGGGACCTCTTCAATTTCCGTAAGTTGAAATATTAGTCTTTTCGATTAATCTTTTCGCAGCCTGCTGTAGAGGTTTATGGCCACTCCTCAGTAGTCGCTTATGATGCAAAGTATTCTCAAAAGGATAGGCATCGAATGAAGATAATATCCCGAATCTCCTTACCTCCTCTACTACGTGGCATAGGTTATGGACATTACTGGTCATATGGCCTTCTCTATAAATCTCTCTGTAGTATTCAATATATGTATTAAATAACGATTCAGCAATGCTAAGTAGAGTAGGTGAGCATAGGCTTCAGTGGAGCATATGGTAACTGCGCAAAATAGTTGTTAAAAATGTTGATAAGCATCAGGCTGTAAATATTTTTCTAAAACAACAATACCTAGATACAATAAAAATGTTCAAATCAAATCAAATCAAAATCATTTATTCCAACTAAACCATAAATAGGTACTTTTGAAAACGTAAAAATAGAATAGTAGTCTGTCAGTCTGTTCGTCATTGAAGCTAGGTGCTCGTTCCAAATTGTAGTTTCGAATGGAGAAGAACGAGCAAGAAACTCCATCATTACTCTTTTTAAAAAATATTTGTTTTACAATTCACCAATAATACATTTTTTATACATTACTGTACCCCTATGTGAGAACAATGCAGAGACTAGTTGTTAATAAAAAGGAACAAATGATGGTCTATCTAATCTATCATTAAAATTTTAATTCTTTGTTGTCTCGAACATGGCGCTCCCATATGCGTACTCACAATGCAAAAGAATGCTTCTATATAAATAAACTCATTCAAGGTTTCATTAATTTTAAGAATTTTAATAACTACTGACTACATATTTGGGTATTGTCCAGTGGAGCCGAACCAACATGCTGCCAGGCATTCTTTTCCTCAATATAATCTGAAAGTTTGTAGTAAGCCTGTCTACATAATTCGCGTTGAATATAAGTTTTAAATTTTCGTTCATTAAGATTTAATACACTTCTTGGAATTTTATTGTAACAATTTACACAGAACCCCATAAAGGATTTCTGTACTTTGGACAGACGGAATCGTGGCACAGCCAGCCTATCTTTGCCTCTAGTATTAAAATTATGTCTATCGCTTCTTTTTTCAAATAATTGCAAATTTTTCCTTACGTACATAATATTTTCATATATAAACTGACAAGGAACCGTTAGGATATTTATCGTTTTAAACAGTTCTCTCAGAGATTCACGAGGGGGCAAGTTATATATCCCGCTTTTGCAAAATAAATATTGAATCTATTTCCGCAGCTGTTCTAAATTCGGATGCTTTCCAAAAAGAAATTGTTTCAAGACCTCTTACTGCACGATGAATTTCTTTCGGTAATTTGGATTGCACTAACAACTGCGTTATGGCTATGATATCAGAAGCTCGCCATTTGGTCTTGTAGTTACTGAAAGAGCCGTTGCGCCATCCCATTAAACACCGCTTCATTATCCCAAGATCGATTAAATGTAGAGAGTCTGCAACTGGGATATCTAATACCATATCAATAGGTAATAGCAAAAGAGCACTATCCATTTTATGGTGTGATCCGTATGTCTTATTTCGGAACCCCTCATCGGTTCTTAAGGGACATCTCCACCTTGGGAAGACGTTGCAATGCGACTCATATGAATACTCTCCAATCGATCGACATTTTGGACACCCATTCTGACTGTTGAAGTTGGCAATACCTTTAATAAATGCACGAGCTGGTGAGTCACAAATTATGGCCCGAATTTTAATTGTAATATGATTGCTTATGATTTCGGGGGTGGTGATGTGACTTTGCATGTAGGTACCGATCAGTGTGATCTCGCGGTTATTAAAATACAATAACAAAAATTAAAATACCCGGTTGCACAACCGGGTCGAAACGTCAAGCCTACCAAGGTATTCAAATTATAATTTTCCGCGTTAATACCCGCGTAAATACCTTTTTTATACTTTTCCACTTTTCTCCGAAAGCCTCCTGTATTCTTAATATGTTTTGCTTTCTTCATGCTTGCAGAACGCTGTCCTTTATATACTCAATACACTTAAAATAAAATGTTTTTAACGTAAATTCTCTAATGAAAGAGGAAGCCGGCGTTTCACTAGAGTATACACTATTGAGTATCTAGTCATTGATTCTATTAAGTATGGACTTAAAAAAGTGCCTAACAAATCCATATAAAGACCTTTTTGATTATTTATAGAGTAATTGGTCTACAAATACTTAATCGCAATTCTCAAAAGGTATTTGTGATAATAAGTCTATAGAATAATTGATCTACAGCAGCGCTTTTAACAGTGCGAATATAGTCCATAACAAATCAATTTGCTCTTAACTCAGTGTAATGAACTAATAAAGGTTTTAAAACAAGGGACACTAGATATTTTATTCTATTAGAATTTTAGTTCTTATCTAAAACCCTGTATAGAATGCCAATGTCTATAAAATAGCCATGATTAGTACTCCTATAGCATAAATAGATTTAAGGCGGCTGAAGTGTGCTACTTGGGTATGCAACATCAACACAATTATTCAATTCGAACCAGTCATTCTGGAGATTAGTGCATTCAAACTAACAAACTTTTCGGCATTATAATATTGAATGTAGATTTTTTTTTAAGGAATAGATGGCAAACGAGCAGACGTATCACCTGATGGTAAGCGATCGGCGCCGCCCATGGACATCCGCTATAACTATAACTAATATACCTAATAAAGTTGAAAGTTTGTGAGAATGGATGGATGTATGTTTGGTGTTCTATGACGCAAAAACGGCTGGGCCGATTTGCTTGAAATTTGAACATACCATGCGGGGAAAGCTGCGGGCGGAAGCTAGTACAAAACAAAAGCGTGTTAAAAATAAATAAGTACCTACCTAATGAGGGTAATAATATTTTTTTCCCTAAAGAAATTTATAGTGAACATGGTTTCGCAATTGGAGTGCTGCGATGAAGCGAGCGAAGCAGCCGTGGATACTTCTAAAGTCGTAGTGGGACGGTACAACGAGACTATAGCTTACATGCGGGGTGACGTCAAATTCTTAGTGGATGTTGGAGATGACACAATGGTGAGTTTTATTGTTTTACCTGTATCGTAGAGGGCGCTGATGTTGAATATTAGCACTTCACCTTCATTTTTGAATTTGTTATGTTAGATGTACCTTAATTTTTATGTGTTTCCTTGGCTGCAAGTGGTATATAACATACCAGTGGCGGTCCAGGAAACCTGAACTTACCTATAATTTCTAATTATAAGTTTGAAATCGCCAATCCGCCTTGAGCAAGCATAGTTATTAATGCTTAAACCTTATCCACACGTGAAGAGGCCTATGCTCAGCAGCTTATAACCTGATGTGAGTTAACAAGGTCATGAGTATATTCGGAAAAAACTGTTTTATATTCTTTTTTCAGGTGGAAATAACTCTTTACAAAGAGGCGAATGGTAAATACGAATTGATGTATTCTCACGAAATCTGTAATCTGTGTGAGGAAGTAGAGAAGGGTGAAGATAGCAATTATGTCTCCTACATTAAGTACTTTGGCATACCTGACCACTGTCCTTTTAGCGCCGTACGTATTGACTGTTCTTTACCTATTATATGTACCGAAGCTTGTCCATTTTGTGTTTTAGATTTTAAACTTAACCGTCATTATACGATTAGAGTAGGATGTCTGGATGGCCACTGCCCTCTGATGAACAAATGCTTCCCTCTTAGTCTTCCTCGTCGAACAACAACCTAACATTTGCATTAGCTTCAGCTTTCAGAGGAAGAAAACTTTCAACCTGTCAGGAAAGGCTGGAAGTCCTGAGTTTGCGACGGTTCTTTGTTTGGTCAGCAAACTGATTAATTGATGGAAAGCAATCGGCGCCGCCCATGGACAACCGCAACAAAGGAGGAGTTGCAAGTGTGTTGCCGACTTATTGGAAATTAGGAATTAGGAGATTTTGGGATTGGAGAAGGCTTGGTCCTCCGGTAACCTCAGCCACACATGGTGTGGTTGTTTCACACGGTTTTCTGTAGGACCGTAGTATCACTCCAGTCGAGTCGATCCATTCGTGCCGAAGCATGGCCCACACTTATGATAATCCTTAATCTTTAAGAACAACTTAAAAACATAACTTAAAAATGAGATAGGTCTATAATTCTAAAGTAAGAAGTCATCACTCTTCTTGACCATTCTGCCACGTTTCCGGTGTACCTAATTCGAAAATGACGGAATTCAATAATTAATGGGCGAAAATAACCCTCTTCCACACGCTAGCTAAAATCCTTTTGCTTCTATCATTTTTATATTAAAGTCTTATTTGACAACTTTTCGTCGTGTTTCACCCTAGGAAGTCAGAACTTCCATAGAAAATGATTTTCTTAAGCCAACAGTATTTGGCATTAGTGAAAGTTACATAGGTAGGTACTATGTTTTTGGAGAGCTGAAACAATTTGGTTCTTTAGGTTTTCTCATTCATCTGTCAATACATGTCGTTACACATGTTCAATTATAGTTTATCGATTATATGCTCTTATCACAATTACCTACACCCAGTTTTTGAAAGGCTTGTCACCGCTAAAATTAACTAATATCCTGTTAAATCTCTTGTCAAGTCATCTGATTGGTTGTTGATAATTCAGTCAACCAATCAGATGACTTGACAAGAGATTAAATTGATTTTAACATTGATTGGCCTTTCGGAAACCGGGTGTACCTAAGTGTTAGTTTGCTGGGATTTCGACGTTCACAACATTTTACGGCTTATTTTACGGATGAAAGAGAAAACAATCGAATGCTAGTTTTTCTTTAATTTTGCGATTACAAGTTTTGTTAAAGTTGTGCTATGGTTGAATATCCCACACAACGGTCTCAACGACAGTTTCTATGAAAATATGTATCCTTAGTTCCTTTTTTACAGGGTGAATATCCTATCTTGGAGTTCATAGTAGACACAGATGATTTACCAGTGAACAGTAACACAGTAGGAAGATACCAGGCTTACCTGAATCTTTACAAGACTGTTGATAACGATTGCAAGGCGTCAAGGATATTCCTATTCTGTCTTTCTCTTAAGCTAATCATTGAAGCTGACTAGATAACTATGTCAACCCGTAAGTACTTAATACTATGAAATGTGAATGATAAAATTTCAAAATTCTATTGTCAATGTATTTTCATTTTTTGAACTTTAATAAATTGTGACGACATTTTCTATTGAACATATTTGTTTTATTATTGAGGCACTTAAGCTAGTCTCACGCGGTTTCACTCGCTGCTCGGCTCCTTTGCATCGCAGCCGCAGCGTATTGTTTCATAGCCTATCGCAATCAAGAACATTGTAGCCATTAACTTATCAGTGAAAAATCTTTGGAAATTCGACCATCGGTTTCAAAGATTAGGTACTTACCCTCTATAAACAAACTTATAACTTACAAATTTTACCGCTTTATAGTATGATGTATAGACTAGCAATCGCGGATATCGGGAGTCCACCTAGCTGGAGGGCGCCCTACACCAGGTTTGCGGTTCGGCGACAAATGGGACCTGCCTACTGCCACAATTAGCTGCCGCTTCAATTAGCTAATCCTTTAGACTATGTTGATAACTTTTGTTTTCTGTCGGATCACCTCTTTACGAATACGATGCATCATCGAGACTCCAAGTATAGCCCTTTCCATAGCTCGCGACTTTAAATTGGTGGATGTGTGGCCGTGGTTAGTGGCCATACTAAGTGTGATCCACAAATCGTTGTTCCCGGTCTGAGTGTGTATTGTATGTGACATATAGGTTTTTCAACGCACCCACGGAAGAAAAAGATATCGCAGTGTTGAACAAAATTTTTTTTATTCATCACTTGCGTGCGGTGAAAAGTCTGATAACAGATCTTTGTTTATATTTATTTCGTTCTAGCTTTTGCCCGCGACTCCGTTCGCGGTATCGGGGGAAGTTTAGAACTTGGGAAGTCAATACTTCCCAAGTTCTAAACTTCCCCGATTTCTGTGAAATTTGGTACAGATACTATATATCTGCAGTAGTTTAGGCTTACAGAAAAGACAGACAGACAGAGTTACTTTCGCATTTATATTCGTGCGGATTTCATAAGACCTACAATCGTTTCTCAAAATTTGGTTACACAACAAACGATAAAATCAAACACATTTTTATTATTTAATATTATATGATTTATTGATCCAACATTATTCGTTGTCTGGATCGTTAACATTATCATCAGGGCTTGACTCATACGAAGCCGGGTCTGGCTTAAGTTGACCCCTCACCTGAATCTCTACTGAACCTTCCTTATCTTCTTTAGGCACAGGCTTCTGACTACTCGTTCCGACTTTATCTTCTGCGACTTCTACTTTTGCTTTTTGTTTCTTAGACTTTTGCTTCTTTTTGTGTTTTTCGGTTTTTTCATGCTTCTCTTCTACTGTTTTTTCCGTAGTTGCCAGCACCTCTTCTGTCTCTGTTTCCGAACTTGATTCCTTGTCTTCTTTCTTAGTTTTTGATTTTTCAGTCGCTGAATTTTTTTCCTTGTCGCTGAAATACATATTATTCTCTCAACAATGTCAAATATAAAAACTTTTATATTTTAATAAAACTAGTACAATAAAAAAAATCATTTAAATAAAGAGTATTTATACTTAAGTTCTCTCAGAACGTCCTTATCATCTTTGGCGTCACTGCCAATAAAAAAAAGTGTAAGTATCTGGAATATTTTCCTGATAAACTAATTCGGTTTGAAAACTATTATTTCACCTGTCTTCTGACGACTTTTCACCGGTGACACTGCAAACATTAAAGATGATCATTCGATATCATATTTTCACAGACTTTGCTATATACATAATTATATTTATATAAAAATTATTTACTCTGGTGCCGCTTCAGCCGTAACAGCTGTTTGACCTCTGGAAGCAAACCAACAGTAAATTAATACGTCATTAAAGTACTTTAAATAACAATCTTATGTAGCTTCCCAATTACTTCACCTGTTAACTGGGGTGTCATTCACAGAATCGTCATCTTCACTGAAAAAATAGATTTATTCATTATTATATCATTAGTGCTATTCAATAGAATATTTTTGTTTGAAAGCTAATTTTATACTTACTCAACATTATCCCAAGTTACCGACCACTCTTCATGAGTTATACCAGAACGGAATACTCTTCTACAGTTCTCTCTGTAAGCAGGAAAATTTCAATAGATATTATTTTATCAATCCATTACACGAATTTTGTAGTCATCAAGATCATCTTTGAAATACTTACTCAACCTCTTTGTGAATAGCACAAGATATGAACTGACGATTCCTATAAATAGATGTGTACAAGAAGGGTCCGTGGCAGCTGTGAGTTTTAGGGTCAATCTTACAAGCTGAAATTACTCCGATAACTCGTTCTTTGCCTTGGTATCTTACGATCAAAGGTCCACCGTGGTCGTTCTGCAAATGAGCAAATTCTTTTGAAGTTCGATTTTAGCATTAGCATCCAGTTTAAAATTCAATAAAATATTAAAAAACAAGGTCATAACATTTTCACGTTTCAAGTATATGTATATTCAAATGTTGTACATTAGTATGTCTTGCAGTACTTTTAGGACTGACCTCACAAAAACCTCCTTGCATTGATGCTCTTCTCGCTGTATAATCGTCAGGGTCTCTAAGATGTCGTCCCAAGTCAACATTTACGGTTTTAGTAGGAACTTCTAAATCTCGGCGGGATCCCACGTCCGTGCAATTAGCGTATCTTTTCTGTGAATGTGCAGTAAAATTTTAATATAGGCAAAATATTTTAGAAGTTTTATGAAACATTACAGTACTACTTTGTATAAATATTTTGCTAAATCCATACTCACATCACATAATTCACTTAGCCGTTTCATGACGTCTTTGGTACAGATCATGTACTGTGTTATAATTTCCCTAAATCTTTGGGCCCATTTCTTCGCACATTGCTCGTTGTCCATCACACAGACTTTGGCTTCTTGGAGGCACTTATTGTTTTTCGGCATATGGTCTTTCGAACGTCGGTAAACACCCTTAAAAGAGTTATCGGTTAATTTAAATTGCAAATTAAGCTCTTTGAATTCACCAAAGAGGTTTAATTACAATTTATTATTACTTTTTAGAATTTTTCCATTACCTCTCTGAAGTTATTACCGCTACCCCATCCAGCGATCCAACCTTTGGTTCCAGGCTTTTCCATTTCTCTACTGACGTTGTTATACATAATGAGATCAGTGGCGAATTCGCATCCCTTTTCTTGGACACCAAATTTGAAGGCTTTATCTACTTTAACTATAGCGATATCGTTCGATGACCATTTAATACTGTCTTGGAAGTCGAATTTGTAATCTAGAAAATTATTTAAGAATTTCGATTGACATTAGTTCGAAAATATTAAGTTTTAAGCAATATGCTTTAGCTGTATAAAAAACAGCCTTTGACCTAACAGAATTCAAAAAAAGACTTACTCTTGGGTATACATTTCCATACAACTTTTCGCCGATGTTTACAAACGCATTCGTCATTCTTGTAATCGAAGCTATCTACGTATTTAGTAGTTCCGGAGACAATGTAGAATCTGTCGGCGTCTTCAACGCAGGCGGCTGAAGTTAGCACGTAGAAGGGATGCACGATCACACCACCACACAACCAGCCTCTATACTTGTGAACTTTGGCAGATTCTTTTGTTAGTTGGAGATATACCTGCGCAGTAACAGATTTTTTAATGATTTAATTTCTTTTATCTTTTAATATCGTCAAATTTTTATTAGAATCCTTTATATCGTCTATTTCATTAGTTTTAGTTTCGTTAACTTTATACGATTTGTAGTTTTTATTGTTTATTTTCACGAGTTTTATTTTAATTTTAAATACATTTTATTTAAGAGTACTATTAAGAAGACATTAAAGCGTTTAGAGGAAATATTTTTGATGATGTGGCATTAGAATTATTTTTGCATGCACCATATACTTTGTAATGGTGGCACGTAAAATAATACGAAATGATTTCAACTTTTTCTAGTTTTGATTTCCTACTTACCATGTAAGGTCGTTTTCCCTTCTCGGTTCTCTTACTGAATAGAATTCTCCTAGCATCTACAGTAGTAGTGTTTTCGTAATCCCAACCTTCATCCGCTATTTCTTCTACATCAGCTATAGATGTATTGGCACTCTTCGAGTGATGTTTAGAATGATGTGGCTTTACTGTTGTTTCGTCATTCTTTTCTTTTTTTGAGTTTGCCAAAACTGATCCTAGAACCGTTTGTTTTATTTTAGTGCTCAAGGATTCTTATTAATATGTTAAAGAATCCACAAGACCGTAGATAAAAATAAAGGTTATTTGTTAAAATTCATAATGTTAACATTCGGACAATCTATACAAATAGCAAAATATGTGGATTAATAAATAAATAAATGGATAAAAATCTTTTTAGAACTCGTCGACCTGTTAGCAAGTTTTTTTACAAAAAAGATTATTTTTAAATAAGTAGGTTAATGTTTAATATTTTCTATGCAACTGAGGGCAGTTTTGGCGCAGTGTAAACAAAGTCTATTATTAATATCTATATAGTATATATACATATAGGTCTATTACGTTCAGATATAATAAACTAAAGAGAAAACAATAGCTGATTATATTTGACAAAAAGATAAATTTCTAAAAAATTAAATCTTACCCAATAGGAGGAAAATCGACACCAGAAGCAGGCAATGTTTCGTCATTTTGACTCACGAACCGATCCCAGAAGGACCGATAAAGTTATTTGTTCAATCACGAAATGAAATTGAGGATGTTAATTTTTTGGTCAATCTACATAAAGTTACGCTTCGTTGAAGTCAATTATCTGCTATCCGGAAGCAATTTAATGTTACGTGCCTACAAAGCAATTAATTTCAAAGTTAATTAAACAAGCGTAAATAATTTATACCTACATCTTCTAAATAAATATTTTCAACATTTTTATGAGTAGGTAGTTGTTGCTATCTACCTACTTGATTCGAGTAATTAAAGTAGGCAAATTCAAAATAGTCTTTAATATACTTACCTTTAGTTCCTTAGAGATGAGCTTTCAATGAAGTACATTATACTAGCAGCCCACCACTGATTGCACTCGCTAAGGACAAAAGACGAAAGGGTTGAAACATCCCGATGTTCCTCTCTACTTTTCAAAAAAATTCTTCTATAAGAACATTCTCGTGACAATAACAATCAAAACCCAACAAGAATCAACGAAGTCGATTTAGCTGTTCTCGAGATTTGGGCTTACCAACACATTAAGCAACTATTTTTTACAACATCGATTATTTATCTCTGTCATTAAATGTAATAATCAGTCAATTATCCTCATGACTTATTTATTTCGGTACAATCATTTATTTATTTATTTAGGACAACCAACAAACCTTACACTAGTTACAATGTTCTTATGATATCTTAAATCTTATGCTAAGTGTGGACTTAATTATAGGTTGCCACAGCATGCATAATATGTGGTCGGATCTATGTTACTTATTATAGTTTTTTTCTATGCAAAGAAGAAAATGTAAAGTTAAAAAAAATCATAAAACAGTCTAAGGAACATCTTAAATAGGTATAAAAATGAATTACTGATCGTTAGTCTCGCATAAACTCGAGGAATGCTGGACCGACATGACTTATTGTGGTTTTGAAATAAGTAGTATTCCCAGTATATCCAGGTAGGAAGGTCAGAAAAACTAAAAAAAAATGCCTATATTGGACAGAACGATGTCTGCCGGGTCAGCTAGTCTTTTGGATTGTGATTTGGATTTTGGATAATGTTGGTCTTAAAGCTAAGAGCTTCTAAACTTTTTATGAACTTAATGACTTGTTAAATACAATTAATTAATTGGATGACTTGATACAAAGAGTGGACGCCATTTTTATTCATAGAATCAATAATACTGTTTATGTTATCCTGCGGCAAATTTTAGCAAGACTTATCAGTTTTCGGGGTTGTCTAGTGCGTCCGAGTCCTCTAAAACACTATTCTAGAGAATGCCCTACATGTCTTCGATGGGGCGTGTGCGGCGGTTATACAAGCCATGCCTTGACTATATTGGAAGGCTTTTTTCGCTCATCAAGTACTTCCAGTTGGCAAAGATGTATGCGAATGCAGTACCATAAAAGCGAAGGCAAGGGTTTGTGCATCCAACCAAGCCCTAAGTAGAGGAAGAAACGGGGGTTTCCAATTAGAGTCTGATACTCCCTCTTGCCTCAACCAGGGCAATAAAGAAAATATAACTATGAAAGATCATTTCTAACAAGCTGCTTAAATATGCGCACTGATAGTCCAAACTTAATATTATAATGCGAAAGTAACTCTGTCAGTCTGTCTTTATTTCACGCCAAAACTACAGAACCGATTTCTGTGAAATTTTGGTACAGACATAGTCTGGAACTCGAGAAAAGACACAAGATAGTTTCTATACCAAAAATCTGCAGAAAGTCACTATTCCACGCGAACGGAGTCGCGGGCAAAAGCTAGTTTGAAATAATACCTACTTCTGTATCTCAATTAAATTCATAGTTGAAATCTTTCAAAACGAAAGAGAAAGGTTTGATGCCATGAGATACCTGCATTCATCATTGTAATAAAGATATTAATTTATTGTTGGAGTTTGATCAGCTTTAGACCGTACGAATCGTGGTAGGTATAGACATGAGTATTGTCCAGTAAAGCAGGATATGTTGCCAAACATAATTTTCTTCAATGTTATCTTACGCGGTAGTAAAACGCTGATAAATACGGTTAGGGAAAATAAAGTTTCTGTTGACTTTTAAAATATAATTATCTCAGATAGATTGCTTTCCGCTTTCAACATTCGCAATAGAACGGCAAATAAGCAGTCGGATTATCTGATGGTAAGCAATCATAGACACGTAACATCGAAAGAGTTACGAGTGCGTTGCCGACCTTTTAGGGATTAGGATTTTGGGTATTTGGGGATTGGGGAGTGGAAGGATTGGGCCTCCGGTAATCGCACCCACACCGCGTAACACAACGGTGTGGTTGTTACACGCCGCTTTTCTACGAGGCCGTGATATTAGGGTCTACTAAGGTCATTCGTGCTAAAGACTGGCTCTCCCACACTTTACTAATATACCTTAACATAGTCTTTCTTTAGCTATTATTTGATAGTTAAAATCCATTCATCCATACAAATGGATAAAAGTAAATGATTTCACCCATTTAAACGAAACAAAGAAAATGAATTAAAATTCGAAATTAACCACTTTCTTTAAAAGACTATGTCCAAATTGACCCTGTGCAATGTGCAATAAAGAGTATCTGAATACACTACAATTAATGGTCTATTATATTATTAAATAAATTGCCAATATTTTTTTAACACGAACTAGTTGTCATCTGAAATGTACATTAAATGGTATTTTATTTTATTTTATTTATTTGGCTCACCAACAATTGTTTACATGATAAAATATTAAATACATTCATCATAATACAATACTTGTGTAACAATCTCTTATAGGTAAGCACAGCATGCACTATACTACTTAGTTAAAGTTAAGATTACAGATTACATACAAATAATTATGACATTGTGAAAATCTAAGTGAATACATTTTACCAATATATACAAATAAATTAAATTACAAATTACGGAGTAAAAAAAAATATTAAATACAGTGCTAAAATTACCTACAATTGAAATTAAATTAAATAATAAAAAAAAGGAGGAATTTTACGCGACTAATAACATTAGTAGTCGCCATCTTCGCTGCCGACTGGTACCTATAGATGGTTTCATAGGTAGGTACACTGTTGTAGCGTACACGGTTTTTTATTATTCTCATACGACGAAAACGAAAACGAATGACAAGAATTCAGGTATCAATGTAAATTAGTTTCAATGCATTTTGCACTTACAGCCACTTTGACGTTAGAAATAAAACTCTAAAGGTTCCTAATTATTTAGATAGATCCTGAAAATAGATCCCGTCATAGACTTTCAGCGTGGTTTAAAAAAAATACTCAAAGCTATTAAAAATATCCTTAAAGTAGCTTAGTGTTAATACCTACCTACTTGGTAAGAAAATATATAGTATTAAAATGTATGAATAATTTTGTCGGCACACCTCGACGAACCACCGCGACGGCCACCGAAGTGGGAGAGCCATGCTTCGGCTCGAATGGGTCGGCTCGGCCGGCGTGATACCACGGCCTCACAGAAAACCGGCGTGAAACAACCACAACCTTGTGTTTCGCCGTGTAAGTGAGGTTACCGGAGGCCCAATCCTTCCCATACACCAATCCCTTCCCAGTCCCAAAATCCCCAAAATCCCAATCCTTAAAAGGTTGGCAACGCACTCGTAACTCCTTCTTTGTGGCGGGTGTCCATGGGCGACGCCGATTGCTTACCATCAGGTAATTCGTCTGCTCGTTTGCCGTCCTATCACATAAAAAAGTGCTTCGCAGGCCGGGAGGATGCACCGGCTTGCGAGCTCGAGGCTGCGTTTGTTAATTCCATATTCCCCTTAATTCTATAACAGGGTCAATAACTATAACACAATCATGGCTCATTCGCTTTATGTAATTATATCAATGTAGTTAAATAATAAAAAATGTGCTTGAGTTTTGCGTCTCTCGTACGAAGTTGAATATTGCTTATCACTTTATTGGCTGCCTGCTTTCCAATATAAATAGGTTCTATAAATAGATTTTTTATGGTAGATCACTTGATGGTCTGCAATCAGCGCCACCCATGGAGATCCGCAACACCAAAGGAGTTACGAGTTCATTGCTGGCATTTTAGAGATAAGGGTTACGGATATTTAAGGAAAGGGAAAGGATGGGGTAGGGCCAGGGAATGGGCCTGCGGTAACCTCACTCCATGGCGAAACACAACGCTGTGGTTATTTCACGCCGGTTTTCTGTGAGGCCGTGGTTTTACCTCGGTCGAGCCAACCCATTCGAGCCGAAGCTGTTAATAAAATACGTAAAAAGAGTTGTGATTCAGTAACAACGGATGCAACATGAGAAAATATAATTATTTAGTTCCTTTGAGTTTTTCCCATTTTTGTTTTACTGACAAAAATACCGTCTATTGTTTATGGATAAGCCGATGTTTTTACATTCAAGAGCATTGATTAGGTTAGTTTAAATCTTTATACGAAACAAAGTATTTCTATAATTTTAAATGAACAGGTCATTATTTAGATCTATATTGAATATTATCAAAATATAAGTGTGGGAGGGCCATGCTTCGGCACGAATGGGCCTTCTCGACCAGAGTGATACCACGGCCTCACAGAAAACCAGCATCAAGCAACACGTAATGTTTCGCCGTGTGAGCGAGGTTATCGGAGGCTCAATCCCCCCATCTTCAATCCTCAAATCCCCTATCCTTAAATCCCTAATAACCCACAAGAGGACCGCACTTGTAGTAGTAATTTCTTTCATAATTTCGAGCGTCCATGTGCGGCGCTGATTGCTTACCATCAGGTAATCAGTCTGCTCTTTTACCGACCTATGACAAAAAAAAAACAGTTTTCATTCCTAGATTACCTACTTCCTCTTGTTTTTGTATCAATCTTTTCGAAAATGTATGAAAAAGTAATATATATAAAGTAAATATCCTAATCACCACATATTTTGAAAAGAATAGTCTTTTAGTTGGCAACATGGCAACACAATGGTTTCAGGGAAAATAACTTAGCAATTCTATGATATGGCAATCTTCGATTCTTACATAATTATAGTTAGCAGTATTGGTAAAAACACTAAAATAAAATGTTCGTATAGATTAAATGCAATCAATAAGCTAGGTCGTGAGGTAATCTCATGCTGTGTAGGTAAATAAAAAACATATACGGGATATGTATTTATTTTTTGAGCGTTTCAATGTATGTATTAAATAATTTGTAAATTGTAATAAGTGTCTAAAAGATGCATTACATACAACAGTATGTATTAGTATCCATTAGTATTATATAATTGTACAATGTCTGTATTTTCATCACATCACACCAGTCTTTATGTGCCCACAGCTGTTCAAAGGCATTTTCTCACACGGAGAAGGTTTGAGCATTAACCACCACGCTTACTCAAGGCAGATTGGCGATTTCAAACTTATAACTGGGAATTATAAGTCCAGGTTTCCTTACTATGTTTACATTCACCGTATCTCAGTGGTGTCTAAATAATCATGGAAAGTAAGTACATATAACACGGAAAAAGATTTTTTGAATCATTGCTTGACCGTAATCCCACCTGATGGTAAGCAGGGATGCAATCATTTATGGTAAGGCGCATACTTTATTAAGAGCCTATTTACTCTAGCCTTGAAGTTACCTAAATCGTAACTGGACGAGAAGACTGTTGCAGGCAAACTATTCCAATCCTTCATTGTATTGGTATTTGCCAGGTTTTCGAACCCTCATGCATGTGAAGTGGCTTAACCTCCGGGCCACCACGACTCGGACTTTTATAGTTACTTATTTAATACATTATACATTGAATTTGACTAGTTGATGGGAACTACCGTATTTTGCAACTAGGCAGATAGGTAGGTAAGGTACCTACATCGTTCACCCACCCATTGAACAAAAATCAATAACACATTTTGCTATATGAATTTTTTGAAATAAACAAGTACTTTTGACGAGTCATTGTTTTTTAAAATTTAGGTATTATACATATCACGAACTAAATTTTATTGTTTCCAGTGACAAAGCTGGCGTACAATTTTATTTTCTTTTATTTAAGTAGTGCCGTCCAATATTCTTCCATTATCTTTTAAACCGTATTACCTGATGGTAAGCAATCACGCCGCCTATGGACACCCACAACGTAGGAGTTACGTTCGCGTGGCCGACCTTTTACGGAAAAGGGTTTTGGAGATTAAAGGATTGGGGGAGGGGAAGGATTGGGCCTCCGGTAACCTCTCTCACATGGCGAAATACAACGCTGTGGTTGTTTTACGCCGGTATTCTGTGAGGCCGTGGTATCACTCCGGTCGAGCCGACCCATTCGTGCCGAAGCATGGCTCTCTATCTAACCGAGATGATTAACGTTCCTCTTCTTCTTCTTTGACCCAATAAAAGAAATGTATATCCTATCATCGTACGACTAATGATAGTGCGAATAAGAACTTTATTATTAAAACACTAAGGTTTATTGTCTACGTAACAGTAGAAACCGCTAATTTTGTTGTTGTAGTTGTTTTTTCAGGTTTTGCTTTTGCCTTGGGTGGTCTTGTTGTTGGCTTCGGGTCTTCAAGTATCACGTCCTCAGCACGAACTTTGTGCACTGAATTATCATCCTTAGCTGGGCTGAAAAAATTGTCATGTTTAAATGTTTTTTAAAAGACAACCTTATTCTATGGACTATGGAGCTTTTTTTGTGAGGGGAAAATCATCAAATACTTCTCCTGCCCAGAGTAAGACGGGAGGGAGTGTCAAAACCACCCCGTTCCTTCTCCTGCTCTGGGCCGAGATCACGATGCCTCATTGCGCTTACCCCGCAACCCCTGAACATCAGCCCTACAGGGCCCCGTCTGTGGTGGTCTATTGGCTCTTAGAGGCGCGCGGAACGCTACGCACCGTACGCTCGGGTCTGGTTCTGGTCGGGCGGAGGTCGTCTCTCACCGAAAAGACAACCCTGAACTCCAAAGGTCGGCAATACGCTTATAACTCCTTTGTTACGGATCAGTGCTGATTATTTATCGCTAGTTTACTCTGTCCCAAAAGTATTGACATCTTTATAAGTATACAGTTTCTAAGAGATATACATACTTATTAAACCGGTTTCCTAAATACTCCATAGAGTCAAACTTTTTTTTATATACATATTTAGTTTTTTTTTATGTAATTGGTCGTCAAACGAGCAGACTGATTACCTGATGGTAAGCAATCAGCGCCGCCCATGGACACCCGCAATGGAGGAGCTTTACGAGTGCGTTTCCGACCTTTTAGGGATTTGGAGGGATTTGGAGATTTAGGGATTGAGGAGGGATTGGGGGCGGGGAAGGATTGGGCCTCCGGTAACCTCACTCACACGGCGAAACACAACACTGTGGTTGTTGCACGTCGGTCTTCTGTGAGGCCGTGGTATCACTCCGGTCGAGCCGACCCATTCGTTCCGAAGCATGGCTCTCCCACACTTAAAATTTATTACTCGTATCTCGTATGCTTACCCATCTGCGTGGTTGCTCCAATCGAAACTCGTTTCAATCATAGGAGTCTTTGAAGATCTTAGCAATATTCTGCATGTTGGTCTGTGATAAACAAAATGTACTGTCAATGTGAAAAATTCTGTTACTTTTATAAAAGTATTTAAAAAAAAATAAAGTGTAAAAATAACTACGTAATATAGCAGGACACACACACACATTTAAATAATTAAAAATTACGATTTAATCATTTATTTATTTATTTAACTTTATGCACAAAGTACATGGGTGGGCTTAATGATAATGCTTAATGTTATGAAACAAATAAGAGACGTAGCAAACCCAGATTTAGCTAAATATATTTACATCTCACTTTGCCAATCAATTCTAACATATTGTATCAATACCTGGGGGGGTGTAGCTGCGTCACATCTGATTTCATTGGAAAGAGCTCAGCGGTCTGTGCTAAAGGTTATGCTCAAAAAGCCCATAAGGTATCCTACAGCAAATATTTACAAAGAGACGAACTTGCTAAGTATTCGCAACCTTTACATAAAAGCTGCTGTCTGTCGTACACATAAACAAATATTAAAATCTGAATCTTACAATAAACTGGTGACAAATAGAATATTTAGAATCCCGGTACCCATAGTCAATACTTCCTTTGCACAAAGATTTTCCAATTTTTTATTTCCTTATTTATACAACAAAATCTGTAATATTTGTAAATCTAAAAAAGAAACGGTGAGCGAAATGCAAACAAAAGTAACAAAGTATTTAAATGATTTATCATACAGTGAAGTAGAACAGCTATTAAAACCCATTCAGTGAGAGGCTAAATATTGCTCAAGACACACTCACACACACTCACTCACACACACACACACACACACACACACACACATACACACACGCACACACACACACACACACACACACACACACACACACAAACACACACACACACACACACACACACACACACACACACATTAATTGTTTTTATGCTATAATTACTTAATTCTTAAGTTGTAATTTGATATTATTAGTCCTAAGGAAACCGTATTGTTGATAGCCGCGATACAGGCTTTGCCTAGTGCGGTTGTCTCTGTAAATTAATACTGTAAACACTGGAATGCCTAATAAAGTATTATTATTATTATCCATCAACTAAGTTTTGCTTTCCTCGGCATTTTAAGAATGCCGGTAAATTAATGAAACCACGGGCCTAAGCCAAGTGAGCTTCATTGGGGGGAATAGGTTCAATATTTGCGTCGTCTTGTAGAAATTTACGAACTATTCTACACGTGTTCAATATAGCGGCTTTTTGCATGGTTATATATGTATTTATAGGTAATTCAATTTGTTGTAGGTAATGTTGTAGGTGCTTATGATCTAATGTTTCCTGTGAGAGTCGCTTATTTTTTATTATTGTCCTCATCTGATCCGATACACGTTGTTCCGAGACTGTTATTTGTGGGTACTGTCGCGAGAATAGTTCGTGCAATCGTTTCCTATATGTTGTCTTATCCGTTTCTAACTTTGTTATATAATAATAAGTGCGCATGATGAATATATTCACATCTTTACTCCAAGACATGCGCACTCTTGGTTTGCCAGCCTTGGTGGACGCAGGTAAAAAGGTATTCACCTCCCGCGCAACATCCAAGACTGGAGTGGGTGAAGTTCTAAATCTTACTGGAGGAGGTGATGAGTTAGTTGACGAAGGTAACGATTGCAATGAAGGGGTATATGAAACGGTGCTAGGGCTATATGGTTCAACAATGTGATTGGTAACATAGTCATTAAGACTATCAGAAGTATCTTGTTCGGCTGTAGTAACTTCGGGTGACCCGGTGGGAGCCCGCCTGCTCAGCTCCTCACCACTGACGGTTTGCATGCTGAAACACCCAGCGTCAGCTCCAGGTGTGCCCCGACGATCCCCGGGAAGCGGCCCTCTCAATTTCCTTTTTAAACGAGTCTCCATTTTGAATGGGTTTCCAGAGCCACGTTAGCCACGCCAGTAATTTAATTTTCGTGTGTCCGCCCCCCACGTGATCAGATGGTCGATCGGGACGTGTGGTTGTTTAGGGGGCTTATTATTATTATTATTATTATTTGTATGTCTTTACCAATCACGGGACCACAGGGTCCCGGTCATTTGGAAGGCGTACGAGGGGCCGGAGCCAACTGCGCAGAGGCCCTTTAGACAACTTTAATCTAAATGAAATGGGACACTAACCGGCGACTATCCCTGTATGCACTATGGAAATGCACCCAAGGACAGTCCCCGGTTAGTGTAGGACTATTGCGGATAATGGAAACAAGGGATAAGACTATGGGTGTGGATTGTTATGGACTGGTATGATGGGAACTATGGAAGGACTATGGCACCTGCCGAAACAATGTAATAAATACACGTAAAAATGGCAGGTGGAGACTCGCCAACTCACCGACCGGGCCCCCGGGAATGGTTGCTAGTAATAGCAACAGAGGGACAACGGAATTAACAGAGGGACAACGGAAAGCAACAGAGGGACAACGGAAAGCAACAGAGGGACAACGGAAAGCAACAGAGGGACAATTATTATTATTAATGCCTACAGGCATGCTAGCCAACCTTTGGGTGTTGCAGTGAGAATATGGTCGGTGCAATAAAGTAGAAATAAATAATAATACAAGTAATTACATACATAATAATATACGTAACTATTATAAGTACATATAACATACATAATTCATATATATATTACATAAATATATACATATATAGGTATATACCACACATAAAGATATAACTATATGTAGACTACACACGTATTATTTATTGTATTCGTTACCCTATTTATGCGAATCTATTTATTTATGTGTTAAGAACCGTGTGTCTTCCATTTTCTTTCTCCTCTCATTTGTTCTAGGACTATGTGCCCTAGCTTCGCACCAACCGCAAAAATTCTCTGCACCGCTCTATGGTTGACTGTTAGAGAATGCCGCAAGGGATTAAGTCTGCCATTCAGACTGTTTTGTGCGAAGAAGAAATAATAAATAAATAAAGTAAGATAGATTATAATGATAAAGATTCTGCCAATCATGTGAATAAACTGAGAAAGCTCAGTGAAGACCCTTATTCAAATAAGAAGTAGACTTGACTACGGTAGCTTCATTTATGATTGTGGCGCACATACTCATACTAACAAATTAGACGTAATTCAGAATCAAGCATTACGAATCACGGGAGGATTTATTAAAAGTACCCCTATCCATGTTATGGAGTGCGAATTAAATATAATGCCTTTATTTTTAAGAAGGCAATACCTAGCCTTTAAATTTATGTTAAAAAGTGTATCCTGGTCTAACAATATAACTACTAATATGATAAGTGATTTGAGTGAGTTTTGCCATAAGGAATACTGGAAAAACAAAAAAAAGCCATTACTCGTTCAGACAGGCAATGTTATCAAAACTTTTCAAGTTGCCTCATCGGAAACGCTTAGGATGTTTAGTTTGGATATGTGGATATCAGCAATAGAATTAAGGGACCGAATTAAAAATGATCTAGAATGTGTAACTGGTAGTAAAACTTCATTTGAACCTAATGTACTAGTAAACAATGTTATAGAAGAACTGAACACTAAATACAGAGACTGGCATAAATTGTATACGGATGGGTCGAAGAGTACGCATGGACAGGGGGTTGGCTTTTATCATCAAAATTTTAATATTAAAGTGGGTTTTAGACTAAATGTAGATGTATCAATAATGACGCTGGAACTTATTGCAATTTTTCAAGCAATGTCTTATGCTAATGAACATAGATTAAATAAAATTGTTATTTTTTCTGATAGCAAAAGCGCTTTGCAACATTTGGCTCGATCTGCCTCTGGTATCAGAAGCGTATCGATAGCCTACAGTATTATTGATACCATTGATAAATTCAATAAAAATGGTATTGAATTTATATTGCAATGGGTTCCAGCTCATATTGGGGTGAAGGGTAACGAGGAGGCTGATCGAATATCTAAACTAGCAGTAGTAGAAGGAAATGAGATTAATTTTTTACCAGATTACTCAGACTTAATCCCTAAATTTAAAACAAAATGTCACGAGCTTTGGAAAAATCACTTTAATGAAAAATCAGAATCAAAAGGAATTTGGTATAAAACTATTCAGCATGAGCCTCCTCGTTATCTTTGGTTTGATGATGGCAATCTTAGCAGATCTTACATTAAAATGGCTTTAAGACTCCGTTCGGGACACTATCCATCGGCAAAGTTTGCGTTCTTGATAAAAAAAGTTGAATCACCAAATTGCCTTACTTGTAATAAAATCGAGGACGTACAACATTTGTTGATGGATTGTGTTAAAAATAAGAATGAGAGAGAAAAAATGGAAAGAGAAAATGGCTTAAATAGGTTGGACATTGGTTTAATTCAAACTATATTATCATACCCCAAATCTGATCTAGCAAAACAACTTTGTAGTCTGGCAGTAATCGCAAATCGGTAATGTTCCGACCGAAATGTAATGTTTTTATTAATTCCAGTGTGTGATGTAGTTGTTATGTTTAGGGTACGATGGGGTTGACATGTCCTTGTGGATAAAAACCCCAAAACAAAAAAAAATAAAGATTATAAAAAAAAACCCTTATTCAAATTACTTATATACAAAATACTTATTCTTATTATAAATAAGAGTCCCGCTGTGACTTGAAAATAGTTGAAGTTTTATTATAACTCAGTTATTTAACGTTGTTAAGTCGCTATCCAAACTAATATTACTGTTTGCTGTCTTTTCTTCACGCCTAAACTACTGCACTAATTTCTGTGAAATTTCCGGTACAGACATAGTTTGGAACTCGAGAAAGGACATAGGATAGTTTTTATACTGTGACGGAAACGCGGTTCAAACTCTTTGACATCATGACGTCAATGGATGGTTGTCAAACGTTGCCTAGAGATTGTAAATTTCGTCGTGAATTGTCAACACGAGTTGGTGTAATCGGTAAGGCGTGTGGATTACACCAGAGAGACCCCGAGTTCGAGCCCCGCCGTAAGCATGGAGTTTTTTAGTTGATGGAAGTTTTTGTGTGAAAGAAATGAAAAATTAAAGAGCGAGAAGGAGAATAAATAAAAATGAATAACGAAATTATTGGAAGGTTCTGGAGTCATGACGATCAAAAAGAATAACGAAATTGAATGTTCCAGAACCTAACCGGGGGTATATAAGCGGAACTGCGGCTCACAGCTGGCAGTTGAGTTCTAAGTCCAAAGCGATTCGGAAGAAAAGGAAGAAGTGAAAAGAAGAAAAGTGAAGTACAGTGAAATAGTGAAGTGCAGTCAGTTAAGTGAGTTAAGTCAGCGTGAACAGTGAACGGCAAAGTTGTGTCAGTCGGCCGGACTCTGCTGGAGAGGAACGCCGATAACTTATCCGTATCCGCGGACGCTGTCACTTAAGTGCAATAGAAAGTCTGAAAACCGGTATTAGTGTTTAATTTCATCCAATCCCGTAACCCAAGCCCGCATAGTTAGGAACGTGACGTCAGGCACGTAACAATACCAAATATCTGCAGGAAGTTACTATCCACGCGAACAAAGTCGCGGGCAACAGCTAGTTTACAATAAATTTAGTACGTCCGTCCCTCAACAGTTATTATTCAAAACGGTCTAGGTCCGCCCTTTAAGAACAAAATATAATTAATTATATTAAATTATACACATAAACAATAATTCACTATAAACTTTAGTACCTACATTGCATATATAGATACACTTACTTAAATGCCTGATAAATGGCTCCATTTAATCGTAGAACATTTTAGCTATCTATCAGTGAAAGAATTTTGGCAATCCGACCAGCGGTTCCAAAGATTACCCCCTACATCTGATCCAACAGACAAACTGTGTATACAGTTTTGTTGGACATTTTATACTTTTTATAATGTAAAATGTACCTTCTAAGCAATAATAAATAAATAAATAAATTTGTATGTGTACTTACAAACATACAAACTTACAAATTTTACCTCTTTATAATATTAGTATAGATATCTACATTTATTGGAATGAATTCGAACTTCTATTTTTAAAAAAGCGATAGTGTTTTCTTTTACAATGCCATCATTCTTACCCGAGATCTTTTTCAATGGCGCAGGTGATGAGGTTCCTGTAACGGTACACGCTGGTGAACAGGAAAGGCCCGTAGCATTTTTTTGTTATATCTTTAGTGAGACAGGCAGACATAACTCCAATTACCACGGAACTCTTGCCTTGTCCAACGATTAGGGGTCCTCCGTGATCATTCTAAAACATAAGTATTAAAATTTGTTTGTTGTTAGTAAAGTCCTTTAAGCAATAAACGGTAAGAGAATGTGGTTACCGGGGAGGTCCAATCCTCCTCCTGCCATCCTCCTCAAATCCTTTATCCTTAAAACTTTGTAAAGCTGCAAGATTGTCGGCGACGGCATTAAATTGGTACTACAAGTGTCAATGGGCGGCGCTGATTGCTTACCATCAGGTAATCGGTCTGCTCGTTTGCCGACCTTCGACATAAAAAACAATGATATAATTGGCTGGAAAAGTCTTTGAATATATTACGTCTTTAATTTCGGAATAAAGATTCCTTTATTAATCACTTTGAAACAATAACTAAGTAATATATGTATTTCTATTGGAATGAGATACAGCGGGAGGAACTTATGACGTGAATGTTCTTAATATTTCTGTTTTATGTTTAAAATAAACTTTAGGAACTGACTTTATGTGTGTACAATGACCTTGTATTTAGTGTAGATATAAGTATTATGTTTATTTTTATTTTTGGTTAATGTTATTAGATTATTGTCAACATAAATAAATTAGAAAAATTTAAAATTATAAGATAGAATTGATTCCAATTTATAGGGACTATTACAATCATGAATACCTCACAAAATCCTCCAGTAACAACTTTATGTGATTTTCTTGTATCAAGAAAGTGACGGCCAGTGTGAACATCTAGCTGGCTCGGATCTATCATCATATGCCTCTTCGTCTTGGGTCTTCTGTGATCATAATAATTATAATCGGGTCTCCTGGGATGAAAAAAGTTCTCTTCAACTTCTTCTTCTTCTTCACTATAAATAAGCTCTTTGCAGTTGACTTCATGCTCCTAAAATTTATTTTTATTTTAAACGTACTTTTTTGTGAGGTGAAAATCATCAAATGGTTTCTCCCGCCCAGGGTAGGGAGTGTCAGACTCTTACTGACTAAAACCCCCCGATCCTTCTCCTCCTCTGGGCCGAGGTCGCGGTGCCTCACTGCACTTGCCCCGCAACCTCGGCTGAATATCAGCCCTGTAGGGCCCCGTCTGTGGTGGTCCATTGGCTCTTGAGGCGTACGCTCGGGTCTGGTTCTGGTCGGGCGGCGAGCTAATTTTAAACACACTTGTGTTTTTGTTTCGTTTCGCCGTGTCAGTGAGGTTTCCGGAGGTCCAATCCTCCCCCACCATCTTCGATCCTCAAATCCCCTATCCTTAAATCCCTTATAACCCACGAGCTGCCGGCACATATAGTAACTACTTTGGTACTACAAGTGTCAATGGGCGGCGCTGATTGCTTACCATCAGGAAATCCGTCTGTTCTTTTGCTGCACAATGACATAATAAACAACATGTGTTTTAATTAAAGATAATATCTTCCATTAAATAACATAATGAAACTAACATTTGGTGGATTTATATAGGGTGTTATTTTTAACGAGGGTATTCAAAGAGCCGATTTGAGTGCTTAATCACAACAACTTTTTCTATGGGACCAATACCGAAATCTCAAAAATAATTTGATTTCCCCATACAAATCGTAACAGCTGATTGCATCATTTTGAATGGAGAATAAACATTTTTTTTTTAAATTGCCTTATTAGTCTTATCGAAAAAGTTCTTTTATTTGAGCACCAGCACCGGGTCCTTGAATCTCAAAATAACATATTAGGTATATGATGTTTTTTCTAGAAATCATTAATCAAGTAGGTACTTATATGAGCACAAACTGTCCACTGGCCCCCCTCCCTCCAACCCCGCGCACTCACTGAACCGGAAATGAAAAACACCTTCCATTGGAGCCACTGAGTCAATGCGCGTACAGTTATACACGACCCTACATCACGTAGACAGCGTAAAAATACTATAGATATGTGCCAAACGAAATGTTCGATAACCTTTTGTAAGCCCGACCATTTTTTGAAGGGGCAATCATCACATAATTGCTCTCTCCTTGGGCGCGGGTAAGTGTCAGACTCTTACTGACTAAAACCCACTACGTTCCTTCCCCTACTCCAAACAGTTCAATGTGGATTTTTATACTGACCGAACAGACAGTGCTCATGGACTCAGAATCAGTGCTGTCTGTTGTGCAGATCATATCTTCGTCTATGACGAAGTGGTACCGAGGGTCCCAATGTCGCTTGCAATTCTTCTTGGAGACCAATCGTACATCCGTCTCCAGTAATACCGGTGAATTTTCTGTGATTCGTGCATTGTTCTTGTGGTGTGGATGATTATAATACTGTGGCAGCCAAAATAGGGTTTATTTATTACTAGCTACTCTCCTATAGATAATAGCGTGATGATACATAACCTAAAACCTTTATCGATAAATAATCTTTTCAGCAAAAAAGAATTTTCCAATTCGAACCAGTATTTCAAATCCATATCAAATATCAACTATAAAGTTCAATGAACTTTGTATATAGTTTTATCATTTTAATTAGTAGGGTTAAGTTACGTGTGCCTACTACTGAGCAATGACCTTATCTGGCACGTAGAAGGTTGGAGTATTAATCACCGTGTTAGCTCAGGGTGAATTTTCATTTCAAATTTATATTTAAAAATTAAATATTATCTAGGTCTCTTAACGATGTTTTCATTTACCGTATGGATCTCAGAAAGTATATAGAGCTCGGAACACAGTTTTTCATGCCTGGGAAGTGTTAAGATTTGGGTCACGACGACCTTTTCGTACGTAAATAGTTTTAGTCATTACCTAATATTATTAAATTATTGTTAAATAAATAAAAAATATTTTAATTAAACTTTAAACTACTTAGTAGTGATATCTACCTACATTAATTTGTACTATTTTTTGTTAGTTAGTATATGTGGGTATTGGCTATGTGCAAAGCAAGTAGTGACGGACAGATAACGACCGCAGCGCACAACACGGCAGAAATTGGAAACAAATCCGGACGATCAGCTATCGGTTTTTATTATTATATGTTAGGAAACACTAAAAATTATTTGATTAGGTATCAGACAAACATAATTACCAAACTAGACATAGAGATAGATTGTGTCAGCCATTATTTAGATTGGCAAAGGTACACAAGTCATTCATAGGACTCAGCGTTAAGTGGTTAGGTTCAGCGGTAAAATCCCAGGCGAAATACAACAATTAAATGAAAGAAATTTTATATTATAATTAAAGAAAACTTTGTGTAAAAAAGCATATTACAATAATAAACATAAGTAGCGATTATATGAACCTATCAAGTTGAAATCCTGGTTTTTGAAAAACTGGTAAAAATAACCAGTTATTCACGATTTTTCCAATATACTTTGTTAGCTTATAACTCTTATATCCCATGGATATGGCCATAATTTTTTCGGTGGGGTAAATTGTGCATTTTAATAAAGCTATTGATACCAGATTTGTCTAAATCGACTCTGGGTTTTTGGTCCATACATTTTTGGACCATCACTTTTGTAAATGTGAGTGCCCTGTAACCTACTACAATTAGTTCGACTAGCAGAATGTCGGTCCTTATGTCAGCTTGGAATTGTTATGCTTACTCAAAGGTCACATTGGCGGTGGCACGGTCACTGGATCACTCGATTCCCTTTATTATGGTTAAGTTGGGCGATGCTGGTGTTCGCTTCATGTTCGTGAACGGGCGCTGGCAATTGGGACTGGTCAGCTCCGGACTGTTTATTGTCCTTAAGGTTATTTTCTTTTTATGTTTCTCTGTATATTAGCGTTACTCTGTTCTCAAATTATCAAACCAACTAAATAATGTATCAAAGAATCTTTATGTGACACTCTGTGATTTAAAAAGAGTAACCATGGAGTTTCTTGCTCGTTCTTCTCCATCGGAATCTACACTTTGGAACGAGCAAATAGCTTCACTTCACTAAGAGGACTGACCGCCAGACTTACACTTTATATCTTTAAAATTTTGTTTGACGTTCAAAAGTGACTGTGTGTGTCTAATTGAAATAAATGATTTTGACTTTTGACTTTGGTATTAATTTTACAGTAAAACTATTGAATAAATTGCACTTAATAATGTTCACAATAATATTTTAATCTTTGGTTTTATTTATATTAACAAAAAAACTGAGAATTTCAAAATCGAAAATTAGGTTACCATTACGGCACCTTAACCCATAATGTTCACAATAATATTTTAATCTTTGGTTTTATTTATAATTTGCAAAGAAAATTATAATTTTCATATTGTTATTATTTGACAGCTTCCGGAAATGTTGTAAACGCTGCGTGTCGCCACTGTTGCGCACATAGCCAATACTATTAAAATTAAAAATACTCACATATTCGTTAAAAATATCCTGGAATGCAAAACGTTCATCATTTTATTATAAGTAAACATTCAAAGAGCTGTATGTGGCGAGAATGAACAACATTTCTATTCCACACTAGCAGCTTGCCCCTGCTTCGCTCGGGTCTTATCGTCTCGCTTATGATGAAAGGGTCCCTATAACCAGTTCAATAATCAACTATAAAGTTCAATGAACTTTATACCTATATAGTTTTATCATTTTAATTAGTAGGGTTAAGTTACGAGTGCCTACTACTGAGCAATGACCTTATCTGGCACGTAGAAGGTTGGAGTATTAATCACCGTATTAGTTCAGGGTTTTTTTTTGTGAGGGGATAATCATGTCAGACTCTTACTGACTAAAAACCCCCCTGTTCCTTCTCCTGCTCTGGGCCGAGGTCGCGGTGCCTCATTGCGCTTACCCCGCAACCCCGGCTGAACATCAGCCCTTTAGGGCCCCGTCTGTGGTGGTCTATTGGCTCTTTGAGGCGGGCGCGGAACGCTACGCGCCGTACGCTCGGGCCTGGTTCTGGTCGGGCGGTGACCACAGACCCGTGCTTACGGTGGCCGGAGGTCGTCCCTTGATCCCCGACGCCTGTAGTGTCGCCAGTTGCGACGACTGGGGCGTGAGGAGGAGGATTGCTCCCTCACGCGGGCCGCTTCTCTCTTTGCGAGCATGACTGCTTCACAAAAGGAGGAGACGGCGTCCCAGTTCCTCTCACTCCGCACCATGGCCTCGACTAAGGCCGGGCGTGAGAGGTCGCCGCCGCCGATTACTTCCCTGAGGACACGGGCGGTGCTCAGCCCAGGCAGGGCATACCGCTACCGTATGCTCCACCGTATCCTCTAGCTGGTCCTCGCAATGACGATACTCGGGCGTTTCCTCCCGCTGGATCCGAAACAGGAACCTACCGAAGCTGCTGTGCCCGGTAAGGACCTACGTCAGGCGGAAGGTGAGGACGCCGTGGCGTCTCTCAAGCCACTCCTCAAAGAGGGGTCTTACCGCTGCTATAATAGCGTGCCCGGCTCTCGGTTGCGACATTCGTTGTTTCCACTCAGCCATGAGATCTCGCCGGAGCTCATTCCGCCACGCACTAATTTGGCGCGGCAGAGGATCCTCGCCCCGGCGACGCGCGTCTGCGCGCAAACTGTAGACGCGCGCGATCGCCTTCGCTGTCATTTACCGTACGGATCTCAGAAAGTATATAGAGCTCGGAACACAGTTTTTCATGCCTGGGAAGAGGGCGTGTTAAGATTTGGGTCACGACGACCTTTTCGTACGTAAATAGTTTTATTTATTACCTAGTATTATTAAATTATTGTTAAATGAATAAAAAAAATTTTGTGTAGTGATATATATCTACATTAATTTGTACTGTTTTGTTAGTTAGTATATGTGGGTATACTATTATACCTAATTAAAAATACTCACATAATCGTTAATAACATCCTGGAATGCAAAACGTGTATCATTTTATTATAAGTAAACATTCAAAGAGCTGTATGTGGCGAGAATGAACAACATTTCTATTCCACACTAGCAACTTGCCCCTGCTTCGCTCGGGTCTTATCGTCTCGCTTATGATAAAAGGGTCCTTATAACCCGACTTTCTCCTCTACTTTTCTAAAATTTTCTTTCATAAGAACCTTCTTCTGACAATAACACACAGAACAAAACAAGAATCAGTAGAAATGGTCCAGGCATTATTGAGTTATGCGCTTACTTATATATAAATATGACTTACACTATGAAGAGGAAACTGGATTCTCGTTATCTTCCATAATATATATACCTACTAACTTTATTTTTTTAATTTGGCATGCTATGTAATTAGCAAAAACTTTTTTTGTATAACCTTGTTGCCTATACCATGTTTTATGGAAATAAATATTATGATTATGATTTTAGGTCATATTAAAGCGTTTTTTTTTTGTGAGGGGAAAATCATTAAATGACTTCTCCCGCCCAGGGCCGGGCAGGAGGGAGTGTCAGACTCTTACTGACTAAAAACCCCCCTGTTCCTTCTCCTGCTCTGTGCCGAGGTCGCGGTACCTCATTGCGCTTACCCCGCAACCCCGGCTAGGTCATATTAAAGCGTTACCATGATGCATTACAAAAATCTCCTAAACTGTAATGCAATGCTTTTTTTTCAGGGGTAAATCATCAAATGACTTCTCCCGCCCAGTATAAGGCGAGAGAGAGTGTCAGACTCTTACTGACTAAACCCCCCGTTCCTTCTCCCGCTTTAGGCGGAGGCCGCGGTGCCACATAGTGCTTCAAACTGTATAATACAGTGCTGCGGAACCATAATGCTGCGGAATAAATTGTGCCTAAATAAATATTATAATAGCTTTTGCCCGCGACTTCGCGTGGAATAGTGACTTCCTGCGGATTTTTGGTATTAAAACTATCCTAAGTCCTTTCTCGAGTTCCAAACTATGTCTGTCCAAATACCAAAGAAATCGGTTCAATAGTTTAGGCGTGAAGAAAAGGCAGATAGACAGACATAATTACCTTCGAATTTATAATATTAGTTTGGATAAATCAATTTTAGATGCTCAGCGATGGTTTCTTGAAACGCGATTTTGCGTGCGGTGAAACTTTACGTTACTTTATTGCATTTAACAGCTTTATAATATTATTTAGGCGCATCGTCGTTTAAGTGTGGGAGAGCCATGCTTCGGCGCGAATGGGTCGGCTCGACCGGAGTGATATCACGGCCTCACAGAAAACCGGCGTGAAACAACCACAGCGTTGTGTTTCGCCGTGTGAGTGAGGTTACCGGAGGCCCAATCCTTTCCCTTCCCGGACCCTTCCCCAATCCCTAAATCTCCAAATCCCTAATCCCTAAAAGGTCGGCAACGCACTCGGTCGGTAACTCCTCCGTTGCGGGTGTCCATGGGAGGCGTTGATTGCTTACCATCAGGTAATCCGTCTGTTCGTTTGCCGACTTATTACATAAAAAAAAAACGTCGCAACAACAACAGTGGTCTTCTGTGTCAAATGTAATGATAAGATACTAACATCTCCAAAACGGTCAGTCGTTCCCCACCCTGCTATAGTACCAAATTGGCTTGCTTTCTCCAATTCGGCAGAATGATTGTTGTAGTACACCTTCTTTGGTATGAAGTCGCAGCCACGGATTCTTCTCTCGAAATTGAAATTATCTTCGACCTTCACAACGGCTATGTCGCCGACCATCCAACGTATATTATCGAAGTCATCACCATCATAATGGTAAGCTAAAACAGAAAAAAATTATGTCAGGATATTTTTTTTGTTTTTTTTTTATGTAATTGGTCGGCAAACGAGCAGACGGATTACTTGATGGTAAGCAATCAGCGCCGCCCATTGACACCAGCAACGGAGGATTTACGAGTGCGTTGCCGACCTTTTAGGGATTAGGGATTTGGAGATTTAGGGATTGAGGTGGGATTGGGGGTGGGGAAGGTTTGGGCCTCCGGTAACCTCACTCACACGGCGAAACACAACGCTGTGGTTGTTTCACGCCGGTCTTCTGTGAGGCCGTGGTATCACTCCGGTCGAGCCTACCCATTCGTGCCGAAGCATGGCTCTCCCACACTTGTGAGGGGAAAATCATCAAATGACTTCCTTCTTCTGCTCTAGGCTGAGGCCCTGCTGCCTCATTGCTCTTACCCCGGCTGATGTAAGGGATCTTACAATACATTGAGTTACATTTTAAGAATTATCTTTGAAATTAACGACTTTATCACGTGAATTATCCAAGAAATAGTCTAAAAGTTTCAATTTACAATGAGACTCTTATTCATAAGTAGCGTGCGCGTTGCGGCGACATCGTCGTCAGTCTGCTGCCTAGTTAATTACCTGAATTAACTTAACGCAAAAAACACAAAAATATGAAATGTATGTATTCCTACTCAAATATAGTTTTTTTTTATGTAATAAGTCGGCAAACGAACAGACGGATTACCTGATGGTAAGCAATCAACGCCGCCCATGGACACCCGCAACGGAGGAGTTACGAGTGCGTTGCCGACCTTTTAGGGATTAGGGATTTGGAGATTTAGGGATTGGGGAATAGTCCGGGAAGGGGAAGGATTGGGACGAGTTTATCATTGAGTTGATTTTTTCATTTACTTTATTGTGTCGAATTAGTAAAAGGGAGGTTTTTGTTACGGAATAGTAACTGAGGGTAATACGATGCGAAAATATAATTATATGTATACATAGTAACTTACATTTAGGTACGCATTTCCAAACAGCTTTCTTGGCACCGTTTTTAATACATTCGTTACCTTTTTCTTGAAACGAATACCACCTATGTATGGAATAAATCAATGAGAAAATGCTATTTACACAGTAGTAAGGTATACCCCTTTTTTTTGTCAGGGGAAAATCATCCGATGACTTCTCCCGCCCAGGGTAAGGCGAGAGAGAGTGTCAGACTCTTACTGACTAAAAACCCCCCCGTTCCTTCTCCTGCTCTGGGCCGAGGTCGCGGTGCCTCATTGCGCTTACCCCGCAGCCCCGGAGTAAGGTATACCCTGAGGTGCGGAGGAGTGTCAAACTATGCTTGGGCCACACTAACGGGATGCGAATAATTATCGCGATAATTGATGCTATTAAACAATGAAAAATAAACCTTAAATCATATGTTTAGTGATCAAATTACACATACGATTAACGTCCATTATGGCGATAGTGAATGGTATTTCCCGTTTGTGTGGCCCAAGCATTACTGACTAAAAACGCCCCATTCCTTTTCTTGCCACAGGCCGAGGCCGAAGAGTAGCATACTCTAATGGATGGTTTTCAATAGTCATCAAGATTTTGACCCTAAAAGTTACCCCTTTTCACATAGCTCCGTTCTTTTTCCCTTGGCTTTTCCCTGTTAGTTTTGTAGTCGGCTCTGTGTCTGAATCAGATTGAAATGTGAATAATTTCACCTTATTGACTGCCATATCGTAGCCAACTTTAAGGGTTAAACCACATTCTCAGATAAAACCATTTTCGTGATTTTCGAGCTAGATGTTTGTATAAAATTCATCTACAATAATTATAATCATTTATTTCAGACCAAGTCCATATTCTTGTTAGTAACATTAAACTTAAAAAAAAGAAGGAAAGAAAAAAAGTTGCTTTATATTTTATAGAATCTTCGACGTAATCTGTATTTGTTTAAAGTTTAGTTTTACCTGGATAATCCAGATACGACATAGAAATGTTTAGCGTCTTCAATGCATGCAGCTGATGTGAGTATGTATCTCTCATGTATGATTACTCCGCCACAGAGCCAGTTCGAATGCAGGATTTTTGGATCTGCACCCGCTGCTGGCCTTAAGTAAACCTAAAATATAGTCAAAACAAAAGAAAATTTACCCGTGTTTGATGTTTCTCGCTCAACTAAAAGAGTTGAGCGAGAAACACAACTTAAGTGTGGGAGAGCCATGCTTCGGCACGAATGAGTCGGCTCGACCGGAGTGATACCACGGCCTCACAGAAGACCGGCGTGAAACAACCATAGCGTTGTGTTTAGCCGTGTGAGTGAGGTTACCGAAGGCCCAATCCTTCCCCGCCCCCAATCCCTCCTCAATCCCTAAATCTCCAAATCCCTAATCCCTAAAAGGTCGGCAACGCACCCGTAACTCCTCCGTTGCGGGTGTCCATGGGCGGCGCTGATTGCTTACCATCAGGTAATCCGTCTGCTCGTTTGCCGACCTATTACTTAAAAAAAAACTAGATACCTAGGCCTTTTTCACATGTTTCAAATTTTGTTTTACTTTAGATTATTTTATTATATTTGTTCTCATTCTGATTTCTTTCTTTAGTTTGTTCACATTGAATGTAGGTGTGTACATATGTGCAAGACAATTAAAGCGAAATAAATATATTTTTTTATAATTCCTTCAAGTTGGACGGATGTTGAAAAAACATGATTAATCTTTTGCTAGAATTTCGAAATAGTAGATACCAATTAAATTTAAAAAATCCGTACTTTTGAGACAGACTCGACGTGAAAAGGTTTATATGTATAATCCATACTTTTTTATGTAAAGACTCGGATACATATTCTTATAATGTGTCGAACAAATATACATACTTATGATGAGTGACACACGATGAAGCTTAAGAATGTGAGTTCCCATGACTTAAAGCCCGTGAAAATTGGGTGTTGTATTGCATACCTACATTGTACTTCTTTCCCCTTGTAATAATCACTACTGTTCTTGCCCGCGACTTCGTTCGCATAGAATAGTGACTTCCTGCAGATTTTTGGTATAAAAACTATCCTATGTCCTTTCTGTAGTTCCAAACTATATCTGTACCTAATTTCGCAGAAATCGGTTCAGTCGTTTAGGCGTGAAGAAAAGACAGACAGACAGACAGAGTTACTTTCGATTTTTTAATTTAATATAAGTTTGGATTCTTATCAGCCTATAGGTAAGTGCATACTGCTGAGCAAAGTCCTTGAGCATTAATCATCACGCTTGCTCAATGTTATTTGGCGATAACAAATACATAATAAAAATTATTCTAACGAAATTATAAGTCTTAGTTTCCTCATGACGTTTTTCCTTTATCGTATGTCAGTGATGTCTCAATAAAATCAGAAAGCACAAAAGACACTTTAGTTCTTGTCAGGCACTGGTATCTTTATGCGTGAGAAGAGGGCGACTTTACCTCCAGGCCACCACGACATCACAGTATAAATATCATACAGTATTTTAACTCGGCCGCTTGAAAGAAATAAATACCTACAGCCGCGCGGTACGTAAACATGCGTTAGGGCTGCTCGTCTCTAGTATTTTTATACAAACTAACAAAACATACATGAACCGTTTTAACACAAGCGTAAGTAGGTAGGTACCTAACGTATCGTGATTCATTCAGAACCAGAACCGCCTATAACTACCTATTTCACTCGTCTCAATAACTTTATTCATATTATTTATAAATTCAAACATCTGTTTTCGTGAGATAACTGGAAATAATGATCCATAAAGACACACTAGGCTACTAGAGCCTAGGTAAGTACATAATGTCTGTCTAAGTAAAATTATTTTATAGTCTTACCTTTCAGAGTTCCCAGGTAATTTAAAAAAAACTTATGTCTGGATGCGTTATTGAATAATATGAAATATATGAATATACGAATTCATGCAACCAAACATAATAACAACACAATATTTCCTATTCGTCATATTAAATAATGTACTCGAGCTGATTTCTAAATAAAAGACAACACACCGTCCGTTCGTCACTGCGGTACAGCCGCGTCTGTCTGCGTCCCGAGCGCGTCCCGACATCGGGCGCGTAGGTATAGTTCGCGTTTCGGCCGTTTCTATGAAGTTGAAATACTTGTAGATATTATTACCTTGACGACATTAATGTTCTGATCCATTTTATTTTACATTATTTGTTTGGGACAAAAAACAGTTATAGGTACATTGCAGAATTAACAATAAAGTAGTTACATTACAGTTGTAATAACCCACACTATTGTCCACGTAATAACATATAAGTATGAGAACGAACGCATGTTAAGAATAATAAAATTTATATTGGAATATTAGTTAACGCTTACGGACAGATCGAAGGGAGCAGAAGTCGACAATAGGTACTTATGTGCTACTTGCAAGAAATTGTGAGACAACTCTTTTAAATTTGAATTGGGACAGCGAGAAAATATCGAAGTTAATGAATTGTGAGTTATAGGTTTCTAAGAGACGGCGGATAGGGGCTCGCACCAAATTCATTAACACATTACACAGAACAACAATTCAAAAACCTTTTACCATGTATGGTTTCGTTTCTCCAACGGGTCGACCTCGTAATATCCTTCGAGTTCTTGTTTTATTAGTTTGAGGCTGTGGAGTAAAGCTTCCTATCGGATCTGGAATCAATTTCATTACAAATAAAAAATATTAAATACTCAAACTTATTTTTAAGGACCTATAGGTACTTTGGTAGTCGATCAGCCGCTTTGAGGAGTCGGTCCTGTCCAAGGACAAAAGCAGGCTAGAACACTATCTTCACATTTATTTAGTGTGCAGTTAAGAAAATGCTAATTACATTAATATAAATAATAATTATATTAATATTATATGGTTGTTAATGGAGCCATATCTTTTGTTGTTACCTACTATTTGTCGTCTCAGTAGGTCAATAATCAGAGTTTTTGTCAGTTATTCAAATCTAAACTATTCTTTAACCAACTACATCTACTAATACGACTTCAATCAATTAGTAATCATTTTTTTTTTAAAAAAAACGTTGCCCCACATTAGCATTTACTCCTGTGTCGTGGGTGCGGTTACAAACATACAATTTCACATGCACATGACACCCAGACCCGGAACAACAATTTGTGGGTCACACAAAGAGTTGTTCCGTGCAGGAATCGAGCCCGCGACACGTTGCACGGCAGCCAGTTGCCCAGCCACCGCACCAACCGGCAATCATTAATAATTGATAGTCAAAAGTGAAATATAGAAACTAAACACAAGAATTATTTCAAAAAACCAGTAAATATCGATAAATCTTTCGAACATTTTTCTGGTACGAAATGTGTTCACTTGGTCTTACCGGCACTTATCAAAGTTGTGACGTACGCCAATAAATAAATAACAAACAACATTTTATAAATAAATAACAAACTTTCCTAAATTACATAATAATTATTTATTTTTTTATGTTCTTTGACTTTGTCTCAACCGATTTCACGTTTTCATAGACGTTAATAAGACTAAGAGTATGCGCACACTAGGCAACTGTTACCTAGAACAGTACCAAGTTGCTTCACTTGGGGATTAAAATTTTTTTTTTTTCGTATCTCGGCAAACGAGCTGACGGATTACCTGATGGTAAGCAATCAGCGCCGCCCATGGACACCCGCAACAACAGAGAAGTTACGAGTGCGTTGCGGATTGGGGGAGGGGTAGGATTGGGCCTCCGGTATCCTTGTTCACCCGGTGAAGTATGTGTGGTTGTTTAAAGCCGGTTTTCTGTGAGGCCGTAGTATCACTCCGGTCGAGCCGACACATTCGCGCCGAAGCATGGCTCTTCCACGCTTACACGTTTTCATAGATTATTCTTTTCATAGGTACCTACGTTGTTCCCGTAGGTTTTGTTTGTGGATGAATTCATCGATTGTTTTTTACTCGCCCTGGTTGGTGCCTTCATATATATTATAAATGACTGCGCTTAACTCGCAACCCTGGCTGAATAGGGTAGGTAACATGCTTTTCACTTACAATCGGTATAGTTATGGTGCTAAGACTTGTAGCACACTACAATGGCTATTGTTGGCAACTTATGTGCAACAGTAATCGCCTAGTGTGCGCCAGTATTTACACGAGGTTCAATAACATGCGTGGTTGATTTTATTTAATTTTATCTCAAAGTAAAATAGTGATCAAAGTCTTTGGTTTGATTTGAAATTAAAATTGTTACTTGAGTCAAACAAAACATGATTGGAAATCATGTTGAACAATTGACACTTAGGAAGGTCGCTACGCAGAGAAATATCTCTGTGTTGTGTAAAACGTTAGGAACTCATACTCAGTCAATTTAATTACAACTATTTTTTTATCAATCAGTGTATCTGCACTGTTAAAGAAATAAAATTTGTACCGTTTTTGTTTTTCATTTTTTTATGTACTAATAATATAGTATACAATTTAACTTATGAATATACTACCAATATATTACTGAAAACGTGTACTATGTAGATGTGATGAGACACGAAAAGCACAATATTGTACACATCATTCTTCTAAAATGAAGTTCCCTGTCTAGTTAGCTATGCCGCCTCAGTAATTTATCTACTCACCGCAAGATGGCGCTTTGCAACATAACTTTGTTTTCTTACGGATTCATTTCCTACTCACCGCTAGATGGCGTTGTACTTACTTATTCCGTTGACTCAGCGATCCAAAATGATTTTTTTACCTGTGATACAAAATCATACAAAAGTTGCGTTATAATTACATAAACAGTTTAAAATTATTGAAAATACAGAAGTAAATAATATTATGACATAAGACACGAAATGTACAATAGACAGGAATCTACAAAATGTTCTAAATATGACGTAACAAGACGAATTAATAAAAGTGTTTTATATTATTACGAAGGTAAACTTATACTGCTAAAATTTGGGTACTAAAGGTACTAAATAAGGTAGCTAACGAATAAAACTTTAAACTAAGAAATAAAATGTATTTATTCCCAAAATATTTAACCACCCATACTATGGTCTAAAAGTACTGTAATCTATTTACAAAATTAACAAAAATAAAATATGTATAAATACTCTTCCTTTGCCATTTAAACTTTAGTTGTAGGTAATATTACTTAGGTAAATTTTTTGCTATCTCTTTTATTACTACTGTTTTTATAATTTATTTTTTCTGTGTTAAATTTAATACACACTTTAGAAACCAGAACAGATCATTCCAGAGAAAAAAAAATGATTATTTAAACAACTTCAGTATTGATTTATTCATCTAGCACACCTTCTTATTTAACAGGACGCATGTGCAGCGATCGAGTAAAATTTTTCGGTGGTAAGTATTGAGTTTTTTCTGACTAGACCTACCGCTGAATACTAGACAATACATAAGTATTTATAAGTTACTTGTCAAGTACCTTTTTTGATGTGGGCA